CCGAGGGAAGGCACTGGGGGCAGGCAACGGTGCGGAGAGTTCCTTCCTCAAGTGCTATCATCTGGGGCCAATTCCTCCACCTCTTGGGGCTTCAGTGACCCCAGCTGTAAGATGGGCATGGACATGGGGAGCTAAGGGCACACAGGTGCTTGGCCAAGTTCATTAGGCTGGGGCTGGTGGGTGGGGCCGGGGTGTGCCTGCCTCTGCCAGGAGTCCACCTGCGGTGCTGGGGGCTTCTGCCCATCTGAGCTAGCAGCCAGAAACCAGGGAGGGGTTGAAAGAGCCAGGAGGGGCCTGCGCTTCCTGCTCCACTGTGGGCAAGATGGGAGAATGGCCCTGACGGCCAGGGTCTGGTCGAGGTCTGGGCCCCGTCCCTCCGACACCTCTTCGCCCACCTGGCGGGGGCTTTTTCAAGTGGCGTTGGGGGCGGTGGTTCTCCGTCGCCTTCTAAACACAAGATGCTGTCCTGCTCTTCAGAGTCCAGTCCTCCCTCCACGGCCTCCCCTCGCGCTGCCTCCTCTTCAGCCTTCTCACACCGTGGCCTGACCTGTCTCCTTGCTGTCTTCAAAGTGCCCTGAGCTTTCTCTGACCTTCGGAACCTCGGCGGGGACCGTCCCGCTTCCCAGCACGGCAGACTGTGGAGTGATTTCGACCAAGGGCTCTGGAGTCTGCCAAATTGGGGTTTGAATTCTGGCCCAGCCACACACTAGCCGTGTGACGTCACTTCTTTTGGCCTGTATTATCTCCTCTGTCACATGAAGAGGACAGAATGAAGCGAGGTCGTCTGTGCGTATGTCGAGGCTGCATGCCTGGGCGTTCCTGTAACAAGTGCCCCATGAATAATAAGCGCAGTTATTACGAGCACTAAGCTTTATGCTTCATCCACCATTATCTGGCGTTGCTGGTAAGATCTGAAGTTTACATTTCAGTGTATATCACTGATGTTAAGTGTTCTTGTAATGGTAAACTCCTGTGCATGCTTCAGCACCCAGCTTTGACACCGCCACCTCCAGGAAGCCTCTCTTCATTATCCTGGCAGGATTTGGAGCTCCTTGCTGGTTGCTCAGCATAGGTTGTCCTTAAACGGGGCAACTGATGAACAGGATCTGCCCCTGGCCAGACACGGGGCACCTCCTCTTCTGCTTCTGTCTACTCCCCACCTGGCACAGACAGGCACAGGGAGAGCAGCTCTTCCTCCTCCCACTAATGTGTGTGAGTCCTGATGTGACTGGAAATCTCCCTCCTGCCCACGTTCTGATCTGATCTCAGGCAGGTCCTTGGAGGCAGGCCCAGCAGGAAAAATTCTTTTTCTAGATGTGAGGAAATAATTTCTGCCTTGACTAATTTAAACAAGGGCCCAGTGTTGACCAAGGCTGGCCTGCTCTGGGCAGGGTGTGGCATTAAGTACCTCCTCGCATGCGCTAGCCAGTACCCAGACCAACCCTGGAGAGTTGCTATTTTTACCCTCATTTTACAGATGAGGATGTTGGCATGTTGGCGCTGGCTCAGACGGGCTCATGAGAGTCAATTGTTGACATTTCAGGAATGGTGTATGAGCTGGTGGTTAAATACAACCATTGTTAATAACTAAATAGTATCAACTTACAATTAAATAATTAGAAACGGGGGCCGGGCACAGTGGCAGTGGCTCACACCTATAATCCCAGCACTTTGAGAGGCCAGGGTGAGCGGATCACCTGAGGTCAGGGCTTTGAGACTAACCTGACCAACATGGTGAAACCCCGTCTCTACTAAAAACATAAAATTAGCCAGGTGTGGCAGTCCCCGCCTGTAATCCCAGCTGCTTGGGAGGCTGAGGCAGGAGAATCGATCGAACCCTGGAGGCAGAGGTTGCAGTGAGCCGAGATCACACCGCTGCACTCCAGCCTAGGGGACAGAGTGAGACTCCACCTCAAAAAAAAAAAAAAAAAAAAGGTAATAACTCAAAAGCCCTCACTTCCTAATGGTTGTACTATGTTTAAGTGTTAGTGTGTTCCCATGGTGGCGACGTCTGTTCTGTTTGTGCGGCAGAAACCCCGGACAGCGTATCCGTCTCTAACTCCCATCAGTGACCCGACCCGTGTAGCTTGAACTCAGCCAGGACAGAACTCAGCAGAAATGAGCAACCACAGCCGGGCACGGTGGCTCACGCCTGTAATCCCAGCACTTTGGAGGCTGAGGTGGGAGGTCAGGTCACCTGAGGTCAGGTGTTTGAGACCAGCCTGGCCAACACGGCAAAACCCCGTTGCTATTAAAAATATAAAACTTAGCCAGGCATGGTGGTACGCACCTGTAATCCCAGCTTGGGAGGCTGAGGCAAGAGAATTGCTTAAACGGGAGGCGGAGGTTGCAGTGAAACACACCACTGCACTCCAGCCTGGGAGACAGAGCCTCTGAGTACAAAAAAAAAAAAAAAAAAAGAGCAAACATGCCGCATAAGGGTTCCTCTTGCCCCTTTTTCAGAGCCAGTTAAACGTTTTTCAGCACCCCATTGAATGTGGGACAGAAAGGTCGTGACCTGACTGAGGTTACCGGCTGGGAGGCAGCAGAGGTGAATTTGAGCCCAGGGAGTGTCTCCCACACCCAGGTCTGTGCACCTGCAAGGGGATTCTGCTCAAGGCCTCTGGAATTAGTGGGTCTCCTTGCACACCCACCACGTACACACACTCCCCGGCCTGCTCTTGCTCGCATAAGAGAGGGGCGGTCACTCCCCCAGCCAAGTTCAGGGGGCTGTGCCTGGCCCTCTCGCCCCGCCTTCCCCTCCCTTTTCCTGCTTCCTTCCTCTCTCCCTCTTTCTCTTCTCTCAGGTCCCATCTTGCCAGGGTCTCAGGCCCACGCAGGAGCAGCCGGGCCCACGCAGACATTCAGCCTGGCGGTCAGAGGCCAATGGGCTGCCTTGTCTGCCACTCCCAGCCTTTGTCTGGCCATCTGTCCGTCAGCTGTGGGACTGCCTTCCAGGGGGAGGAACGGGGAAGGGGGCTGCTTCGCCGTGTGACCTAGGGTCTACCCTGCCTTGCTCTGCGCCTCTTCATCCCACCTGGGACCTCCAAGGCCCCTCCCTTCGCTGGCAGTGGTCTCCCGTTCAGCCTTTTAACCTCTTGTCCTGGAAGAACAAAGCCAGGTCATGGTGTGTGCTCGGCATCCCCTCAAGTCTTCCTTTGTCATCCATGGATGTCACAGTCATCACTGGGGGCTCTGAGGCCCCATGCCAGCCTCTCTGCTGTCCTCTGACATGCTGAGTGGACTCTGGCCCCAGGGCCTGGGCGCCTGCTGTTCTTCCCCCAAGAATTGCATGATTTGTTCCTTACCTCCTCCAGGTCCTGGCTGAAATATCTCCTCCTCTGACCCCTCTATTTAAAATTGTGGTGGCCGGGTGTGGTGGCTCACGCCTGTAATCCCAGCACTTTGGGAGGCCGAGGTGGGCGGATCGCTTGAGGTCAGGAGTTTGAGACCAGCCTGGCCACCATGGTGAAAGCCCGTCTCTACTACAAAGACAAAAGTTAGCCAGGCGTGGTGGCGTGCGCCTGTAGTCCCAGCTACGTGGGAGGCTGAGACAGGAGAATTGCTTGAACCCAGGAGGCGGAGGTTGTGGTGAGCCGAGATTGTGCCACTGTGCTCCAGCTTGGGCAACAGAGCGAGACTCCATCTCAAAAAAAAAAAAATTGGTGTTGGTGGTGGTGAATGACAGGAGTGTAGGATGGGGGATGGATGGCAGTGTCTTCAGCCAGCAGGAAAGCCCCTGAGACGCTGGGAGCAAGGGCAGCTGTGTGATCCGGCAGGTGTGAAATGGAGTTCCAGGCCCAGTTCTGCCCTGATTTGCTGTGTGACCTTGCGTAGATACCTTCCCCTCTCTGAACTTCTTTCCCAGGTAGAGTAAGGAGTGCAGTGAGGTAAAGTATAAGAAACACAGGCCCTGGAGTCAGGCAGATGGGGTCACATCCCCACTGGGACTTTTATTGCCTGTGGGATGTTGGGAAAGTCACTTTCCCTCTGTCTGTCTCCGCATCTGTGAGGTGCGAGGGGCTGGAAAGGTACATGATACGTGAGATATGGCCAGGTGCGGTGGCTCACAACGGTAATCCTCGCACTTTGGGAGGCCAAAGCAGGTGGATCACTTGAGGCCAGGCGTTCGAGACCAGCCTGGACAACACGGCCAAACCCCATCTCTACTAAAATACAAAGATTGGCCAAGTATGGTGGCCCGCACCTGTAATGCCAGCTACTCAGGTGGCTGAGGCACGAGAATCGCTTGAACCCAGGAGGTGGAGGTTGCAGTGAGCTGAGATTGTGCCACTGCACGCCAGCCCGGGTGACAGAGCAAGACTCTGTCTCAAAACAATAAACAAAAGCAAATTTTAAAAAGATACATGAGATAGGACGTGCTGAGCCCCTGGCACAGTGCCTGGCATGTAGAAAGTGTTCAATAAATAGGTCTTTACTCTTTTAGAAAGTACCCAAGGCTGGGAGCGGTGGCTCACACCTGTAATCCCAGCACTTTGGGAGGCCGTGGCAGGTGGATCATGAGGTCAGGAGTTCAAGACCGGCCTGGCCAACATGGTGAAACCCCATCTCTACTAAAAATACAAAAATTAGCTGGGCGTGATGGCGCAAGTCTGTAATTCCAGCTACTCAGGAGGCTGAGGCAGGAGAATTGCTTGAACCCGGGAGGCGGAGGTTGCAGTGAGCCGAGATTGTGCCACTGCACTCCAGCCTGGGTGACAGAGCAAGACTCAAAAAAAGTACCCAGAGGGCTCACCTAAAACTGGACAAACTGGGCAAACTGGACATATATTGGAAGGGATGGCGCCATGGAATCGCCTGACCTTGTAAGGCCGGTCCTGCCGTCCTGGGGTGCAGGTGGGTCTGAGGTCCCCTCTCTCTGGGCTGCTTCCTCAGTCGCTTTGCCCCACAGGTACTTGGCCTTAAGCGGGTGTGAAGTGGGCCGGTAGGCTGGGGTGCAGGGCCCAGACCGCCCCTCAAGCTCTCCTTTCCCTGCGCAGTGTTCATCTGCAGCTTCATGGTGGCCGCCCCCATCTTCGGCTACCTGGGTGATCGCTTCAACAGGAAGGTGATTCTCAGCTGCGGCATTTTCTTCTGGTCGGCAGTCACCTTTTCCAGCTCCTTCATTCCCCAGCAGGTGAGGCCCGCCCCGGCTTCTCCCCCACCCCTGTGTCCCGGGCCCTCCAGCGAGCGGTGAGTCTGACTGGCCTGTGCTCGTCCAGCCCGGGGCTTCCAGCTCCTTTGCTTGAACCCCAGCATCTTCCCAGTGCAGAGGGACGAGGTGGTCTTCGGGCACTTTCACAAAACAGCCCTGCTGCTGGGGCCTTCCCCATGCTAGTCCGACCAGAGAGACTTGCAGCCCGAGTGGCCTCCTGACTCCTTCTGAGTGGCCCTCTGACTTGGGATGGATGCAAAGAATAAGTCTGGCCTAGGAGTGAGGGCCTGGGTTCTAGTCCTGGCTCTGCCATTACCTGGCTGTGTGACCCTGGGGGAGTCACTACCCCTCTCTGGTTCTTGCTCAGTTTGTGCTTGGTCTGATGACCAGCTAAATTCTTGGGTTGATGTTCCAGAGAAGCAAACATCAATTCCACACAAAGAAGCATTCCCTCATTTAGCTCTCCCAGGCCTCGGCTTGACTATCCCAACTTTGTTGCCGACTCAGCTTTGTGGCCTGAAGAAACTTACTCATCTCTCTGAGCCTCAGTTTCCTCATCGTTAAAATGGGGATGATGCTTCCCAACTTAAAGGTTTCCTGTGAGAAGTAGCTGATCTGTGAAGGGCCAGGCCCTGGAACACGCCCGTGTTCATCCAGTCCCTGTTTCTGCTCTTTCTCCCGAAGATGAGCCTGTTGCCTTCTGAGATAGTGAGTTTCCCATCTCTAGGTGCATTCAAGCAGAGAGGAGCAATCACATGACGGCTGCTGTAGAGAAAGATGGTGGAAGAAGGGGAGAATATGATCTGTGTTCAAGGGGCTTTCAGTATAGCCCTGTCCTTGGGAGCACCCGGGCTTTGGGGCAGGAAGATTTGATGGGAGCTTCTGTGCTCAGAGCCTTCAAGAGGTGCAGAAAGTGTCCTCACTAAAGAGACAGCTGTCTCTTAAAATCCATGGGGTCAGGGAAGGCTTCCTGGAGGAGGTGGTATTTGAGCTAGGCAGGCAAGACTGGGAGATTAGGACTTTTAGTGAAGGCATCATGCGCAGAGGGAGCCAACCCACAGATGCAGAAATGGTGCAGTGTATTGAAAGAGTGACATTGGGCCAGGCGCAGTGGCTCACACCTGTAATCCCAGCACTTTGGGAGGCTGAGGTGGGTGGACCACCTGAGGTCAGGAGCTCAAGACCAGCCTGGCCAACATGGAGAAACCCCATCTGTACTAAAAATATAAAAATTAGCCAGGCATGGTGGTGTGCGCCTGTAATCCCAGCTACGTGGGAGGCTGAGGCAGGAGAATCGCTTGAATCCGGAAGGCGGAGGTTGCAGTTGCAGTGAGTGGAGATTTGGGCCACTGACCTCCAGCCTGGGGGACGAGAGCAAAACTCCATCTCAAAAAAAAAAAAAAAAGAAAGATTGAGGATTGCATTTTCACTGCAAAGGAAGTGGGGACTGGGTCATGGAGAGCCTTGAATGCCAGGCTCGAGGGTCTGGGCTTCCTTCTGTGGTAGTGCTGAGCTCTGGAAAAGTTTGAAGATCAATGGCCGGGTCAGATGTGGGTGGATAGAGGGGACATTGGAGGGAGGGCAGAGAGAATCGGCAGGTTTTCCAGGGACATCCTTGCTTCATGCAGCAGCTTCACGGAGGAGGGTCAGGTCAGGTGAGCTCCAGACCCAGGATGGGAAGTGAAAAATAAGGACTGGGCTGGGCGCGGTGGCTCACACCTGTAATCCTAGCACTTTGGGACGCTGAGGTGGGTGGATTGCCTGAGCTTAGGAGTTCGAGACCCCCTGGGCAACACAGTAAAACCCTATCTCTACTAAAATATAAAAGAAATTAGCTGGGCATTGCAATGTGCGCCTATAGTCCCAGCTACTCAGGAGGCGGAGGCAAAAGAATCGCTTGAACCTGGGAATGCAGAGGTTGCAGTGAACCCAGATCGTGCCACTGCACTCCAGCCTGTGTGACAGAGCAAGACTCTCTACAGAAGGAAAAAAAAAAAAAAAAAAGGACTGGATCAGAAATCTCTAGGGCCCCTCAGGGCCTCGTCTTGCCCCTGGCCAGGCCCCTGGTCACCAACCTCTGGGGCTGCTCCTGGGACTGACCAGTGAGCCGAGGCCATCGTGCCAGGCCTGGGCCTACCTCTGGGTGTGTGGAAGGGGAGGGAGGGTTGGTGAAGGAGATGAGCAGAGGCACAGAGAGAAACAGGTCACCCCCAGTGAATCTAGAAATCCACGGCAGTCACAATTTGCGTCCCATGGGGGTTTTAGACCTTGGCCATGTGGTTCTGAAGTTAATTTGGCAGAGAAAATGCCCAGGAGCCGCCAAGAACATTGTGAAAAATTAACAGCGAAAGGGGATTTGCCTCCCGGTTATGAAAATGCAGCTATTCTGACCCAAACAGCAGCCCCGTGGACTAAGAGCCACGCGACAGAGTCCTCATTTCCATGGGGATTTAGTGGAGGATGACAGCTGCATCTGAGACAGGTGGCTTGGGAGGAACTCTCTCTCCATCTGGATTGAAAGAAAAGTTTGGTCTGTATCTCAAACCATACTGCAGAATAAAGTCCAGAGAGGAGAGGGTAAAGCAAGAAGCAAGCTCTTAAAATCGAGGACTATACATCAGTGAGAAAAAGGCAAATAACGCAGCAGAAAATGGGCAAGGGATAGTTAACAGACAGCTTCAGAAGACACCCAAACGGCCAATAAATGTAGGAAGAGACAGTGCTCAGCCTCTCCAGTGATGGGGAAATGCAAATGAGAGCAGCGAGGTACCGTTTCACACCCGTGGCACTGGCGACAATTACAAAGGCTGACAATACCGAGTGTTATCAAAGCTGTGAGGACTTGGGGACTCCAGCCCTGCCGCTGGGAGTGTAAATAGGTAGAGTCTCTGTTGAGAGTGAAACGGCAGGATATTATAAAACTCGCTGCATCTCCCACGGCCCAGCCCTCTACTTGGGGTACATACCCAAGAGAAACTCCAGCTTGTGGACACATGCACGTAAGAAGGTTCACTGCAGCACTGTCACAGCAAAAAAAAATATAGGAAGCAATCTAAATGGCTGTCACTGGCTACACAGATACATGATGTATGACTTTTTTTTTTTTTTTTCTAGACAGAGTTTCGCTCTCACTCTTGTCGCCCAGGCTGGAGTGCAATGGCACAATCTCAGCTCACTGCAACCGCTGCCTCCTGGGTTCAAGTGATTCTCCTGCCTCAGCCTCCCAAGTAGCTAGGATTACAGGCGCCCGCCACCACACCCAGCTAATTTTTGTATTGTTAGTAGAGATGGGGTTTCACCGTCTTGGCCAGGCTAGCCCTGAACTCCTGACCTCAGGTGATCCACCCACCTGAGCCTCCCAAAGTGCTGGGACTACAGGTGTGAGCTACTGTGCCCATCCCGGTGAGACTCTTGACAGCAAATGAACTAGATCTTGATTCATCAGCATAGACGGGTTTCAAAAAGATAAGAATGTGGGGCGAAAGGAGGTTACAGGATAAGACGCATGGAAGGTTTCCTTTTACGTTCATTTTATTTTTATTTATTATTTTTTTTTTTGGAGACGGAGTTTCGCTCTTGTTACCCAGGCTGGAGTGCAATGGCGCTATCTCGGCTCACCACAATCTCCGCCTCCTGGGTTCAGGCAATTCTCCTGCCTCAGCCTCCTGAGTAGCTGGGATTACAGGCACGCGCCACCACGCCCAGCTGATTTTTTGTAGTTTTAGTAGAGATGGGGTTTCACCGTGTTGACCAGGATGGTCTCGATCTCTTGACCTCGTGATCCACCCGCCTCGGCCTCCCAAAGTGCTGGGATTACAGGCGTGAGCCACCGCGCCCGGCACGTTCATTTTATTTTTAAATGTTGTTTGTTTTGAGATGGAGTTTTGCTCTTTCGCCCAGGCTGGAGTGCAATGGCTCAATCTCGGCTCACTGCAACCTCTGACACCCCCTGCACTCCCTACCCCGGGTTCAAGTGATTCTCATGCGTCAGCCTCCTGAGTCGCTGGGATTATAGGCACCCACCATCATGCCTGGCTAATTTTTGTATTTTTAGTAGAGATGGGGTTTTGTCATGTTGGTCAGGCTGGTCTCGAACTCCTGACCTCAGGTGATCCACCCATCTTGACTTCCCAAAGTGCTGGGATTACAGGTGTGAACCATCATGCCTGCCTTAAATGTGTTTCACCGTGCTTCGTTGCCTAGGCTGATATGCAGTGGTGTGATCACAGCTCACTTCAGACTTGACCTCCTGGGCTCCACTGACCCTCCTGCCTCAGTCTCCTAAGTAGCTAGGACTACAGGTGTGCACCTTGATGTCCTGCTGATTTTTTTTTTAATTTTTAGAATTTTGTAGAGACGAGGTCTCGCTATGTTATCCAGGCTGGTCTTGAACTCCTGGCCTCAAGCAATCCTGCTGCCTCAGCCTCTCAAAGTGCTGGGATTACAGGCGTGAGCCCCTGTGCCCCGCTCACACAGAGGGCCAGGCATGGTGGCTCATGCCTGTAATCCCAGCACTTTGGGAGGCCGAGGTGCCTATAATCCCAGCTCCTTAGGAGGCTGAGGCAGGAGCATCCTTGAATCCATGGGGGCAGAGGTGGCAGTGAGCCAGGATCACACCACTGCACTCCAGTGATATTCCGTCTCAAAAAAAAAAATAAATAAAATAAAATGCAAAAGAGACAAATGACCCCACAGAAAAACAGGCCAAGGCTGTGGGCAGGTGATCCCAGGAAGAGAAACAGAGGTGAGGAGCTAAGCGCAGCTGGGGACATAGGAAGAGCGAGAGGGAGAAAGAGAGACCAGCATGAGGGGTCAGAGATGGGCCAACCCAGGCAGCACCCGGGATCACAGCCAGCTGGGGGCGAGGTGAGCAGACGGAGGGAAGTCAGGGAGCCCCCGGCGAGGGCTGGATGTGGGCAATGCTGGCCAGATGGGTGGTCAGGGTGGGGCTGGGGAACGATGACCAGGCTGGGTTGTCAGGCCTCGGGCAGCTGGGGACAGGAGGGGACAGGTCCACATCAAAGGGTCGCGCCACCAGCAGCTGGCAGAGCCCCACCCTTCCCCACTGGGCCAGACTTTGCCCTTTGATGTGTGCAGGGGGAGGGGCTCTGGGGCCCCTGGGCTTCCCTGCCCACTCCCGACTCACACTGGGCCTGCAGCGCTGCCAGAGTTGGCCCAGTCACCCGGCTTGGGAGAGGGACAGAGTGAAGTGTGGCGGCTTGAGGCTCCCGAAGTGCAGTCAGAACTAGGGAGCAGGTCTCCTAGTTGGTGGAGAGCCAACACCTAGGCTTGTGTCCCCAGAGCTTATGGGGGCAGAGGGGTCTGCCTGGGCCATACCACTCTCAAGCTGGGATCGTCTTGTCCCATCCCAGCGTGGGCCAGCCAGGCCCCGTCAGACCCACTATACAAAGGGGCAAACTGAGGCCCGGAGTGGCCGGGGAGGTCGTTTTTACAGAGGTGCAGCCCACCAGCACCCTTACCCTTCTCTCCCCTGGCTCCTGGGCCTTGCCGGGGGAGGGGGCAAAGCGGGAAGCAGAGAGGAGAGGGAGAGAGCGGGCAGCCGGTCCCCAGCATCCGCCGCCCCTCCCCACAGTACTTCTGGCTGCTGGTCCTGTCCCGGGGGCTGGTGGGCATCGGCGAGGCCAGCTACTCCACCATCGCGCCCACCATCATCGGCGACCTCTTCACCAACAACACGCGCACGCTCATGCTGTCCGTCTTCTACTTCGCCATCCCGCTGGGCAGGTGAGAGCCGAGACACCAGGGTCTGGCTGAGGATCTGGGGAAGGTTCCCTGCATGCTCAGGGAATTCAACAGGTGAATGGTCAGCCTTTGAGAAACGCCTGGACCCGCTCCCTGGCCAGCTGGCTGGGTGGTGAGGGTGGGCAGCCTCTTTGCAGACCAGCGAGCACTCCCTGTCCCCAGCCCGTCTCTGCTCAGCCTGACGTGTGTCTCTTCTCTGCAGCGGCCTGGGCTACATCACTGGCTCCAGCGTGAAGCAGGCAGCCGGAGACTGGCACTGGGCCTTGCGGGTAAGGCGTACGTCCCTTCCCTCCACAAGGACACCCTCCAGTCCAGACCTTGCCCCAGGGTTGCCCAGAGATGGAACCCAGGCTAGGACGTAGGCCTCCAAGATTCCTCCCCAGCTGCCTGGACCCTGAAATCCCTGCCCTTCCAGATTAGTGCAGATCGAGGTGTCAGAATGCTCAGGCATGCGGGGAGCCAGACACAGTCCTGCCGCCCTCAGGGCCCCCAGGCTGAGGGTTGGAATCTCCTGCCCGGGAGTCCCAGGTTGAGAACCAAGGATTCTCCCACCATGTCAGGAAATTCCAGGTCCATGGTGGTGCTTCCTGCCTCGAGCCCTGGCGCTGTGCTAGGGTAAGGCTGGGACAAGACCTCTGCGTGGGGGCCCCAGGGTCTGGAGTCACTTCCTGTCTCACTGGGTTTGGGGCAAGTTACCGAGGCCCCAGGACAGTGCAATCGGAGGAAACAGAGGCCCCCAGTGTCTCGGAGGAGCGGAAGCTTAAGACAAAGTGTTTTTTCCTAAAAGCAGGAAGGAAGCGGCCTCCGTGGAATTTCTTAATGGGGGGCGAGAGGGAGGTGGCATGCAGAGGAACTCCCCAACCCAGGGGCTCCCAGTCCCGGGGGCGCGAGGGGAGACTGTTCTGAGGGGCTGGTGGGACGGAATCCAGGCCGCCAGGATGTCACCCTCCCATCCGGAGAGAAACCTGGGGCCTTGAGGTTCTCTTCTGGAAAATGGGCTGGACACAGGGAAGACCCAAAAGGGCTGGTGAGCCTCTTCCTGTGGGGCCCGTATGGGCCACCCCCCTAAATGCCAGTCCACCTGGCCTGTCAGTCAGATGCTCCACGCCCAGACAGCACCTTCCCGGTGCCCTGTGGCTGAGGAACCTATGTTGGGAACTTGCCTCAGGAATTCTCTCCTCACTCAAAGTCGTCATCCCATCTGGCTATCTACTTCTCTCTCATTCGTCCATCTGTCTGTCCGTCCGTCTGTCTGTCCATTCATCCATCTGTCCATACATTCATATATCGATTCATCCCTCCCTCCCTCCTTCCCTTCCTCCCTCCCTCCCTCCTTCTGTTCTCCATCCATCTCTTCAGCCATCGCTCCTCTGTCCATCCACACACTGCTCCACTTACCCACCCCTTCTTCTTCCTCCAGTCTGGCTTCCCTGCACCCTCCCCGCTCCGGTCCTGCCCCTGGTCTGGAAGGTCCATCTCAAGCCCCCAGCCCCTTGACTGATCTCAGCCCCAGGTTTTCTCAGCAGCCCAGTTAGGAAGTCTGGGCAGACCCCAGCTCAGAGGAAAGGCTTGTGGCCTGGAGAAGGCGCAGTTTGCCTGAGACCCCCCTTCTGCAGCAGAGACGAGGCTGGCCAGGCCCTGGTGTCCTAACTTCCTGCTCCCTGACAGGTGTCCCCTGTCCTGGGCATGATCACAGGAACGCTCATCCTCATCCTGGTCCCAGCCACTAAGAGAGGCCATGCCGACCAGCTTGGGGACCAGCTGAAGGCCCGGACCTCATGGCTCCGAGATATGAAGGCCCTGATCCGGAAGTGAGTACGGCTGGGAAGGGCCTGGTGGGCGGGGGGGGAGTGCTGAGGTGAGGGGGGCTCTCCCTGCAGGGCAGCCCCCCGCACCCTCAGCCGGACACCCGCCAGTTCTGCTGTCTCAGTGCTGGGAGGGACGTTTTGGCCCCAAAAATCTATTATTTCTGCAGCCTGAATCCTCACCCCTGGGGCCTGTAAGACGAGGCATTTGGGGCCTTCTGTCCCCCCAATGCACGGGGCTGCCCGTGGGAGCTGGGGGAGGTCCCTCAGCTCAGTGCCACTGCCTGGCCTCTTCCCAGCCGCAGCTACGTCTTCTCCTCCCTGGCCACGTCGGCTGTCTCCTTCGCCACAGGGGCCCTGGGCATGTGGATCCCACTGTACCTGCACCGCGCACAAGTCGTGCAGAAGACGGCGGAGTCATGCAGCAGCCCGCCCTGTGGGGCCAAGGACAGGTGGGGCCCCGTGGGGTGGGACCTTGGATAGGAGGGCCCCTCAGCCTGAGCCCTGACCCCCCTCAACTCACGCCCCCATCCTCTGTCCCCACAGCCTCATCTTTGGGGCCATCACCTGCTTTACGGGCTTCCTGGGCGTGGTCACGGGTGCGGGAGCCACGCGCTGGTGCCGCCTGAGGACCCAGCGGGCCGACCCCCTGGTGTGTGCCGTGGGCATGCTGGGCTCTGCCATCTTCATCTGCCTGATCTTCGTGGCTGCCAAGAGCAGCATCGTAGGGGCCTATGTGAGTGCGGTGCGGGGAGGGGTGCTGGGGGAGCTGGGCCTGGGCTACGAGAGGGTCTGGAATGGGAAATTTGGTCTGACTTGTGGGACGGTCCCTTCCCTCGGGAGGCTCCTGTTCTCTGGCTGCCCTGCCCATCCCTGGCCTGTTGGGGCCTCTGGGTGCCTTGGGGCCGTGGGCATGGGTTGAAGTCTCTGGACGGCCCATGAATGGATGCAGGCCCTGGGGGGGATGTGAGGTTTTGTGGGCTCCCCGCCAGCAGCCAGTGTGTAGGGAGCAGCCTGTGGCTGCTGTGGGGGGAGGGTCCCCTGATGATTGCTTTGCTGTCTCCTGGGCAGATCTGTATCTTTGTCGGGGAGACACTGCTGTTTTCCAACTGGGCCATCACCGCCGACATCCTCATGGTGAGCCAGGCAGGCCGAGGTCACCTTGTGCAGCTGACCCAGGCCTCGACCTCACAGGGGCGGCTGGGAAGGGTGGGTGAAGGGGCGGGAGAGCTGTTGGGGGTGGGTGGGAAGGCAGACCTGCCAGGAAGGTGAAGCCAGAGGCAGGGAGGGGATCAGAGTTTGGGGTCTGCGTCTGGACAGGTCCAGGAAGCAGAGGGCTGGGTGGGCAGAGCGAGATGTGGGGACTGGGTGGGGAGGGGTGTTTCGAGGCTCAGGTTAGTGTCTGGGAGGCTGGCAGTGCCAGGCTGGCACCGAGGTACCACTGCCTGCCAGCACTCCACCCCCCGGGTCTGAGTGTTCATGGGCTCTGCCCCTCCTTGCTCAGCCTGGCTCCCAGGCGCGCCTGCCCAAGTGCCTGTGGCTGGGGCTGGCGGACAGAGGCCGTCTTCACGGGGCCAACAATGGGCTCCAGACCAGCCAGCTGGGGACAAAGGGCTGTCTGAGCGGCCAGCAGGGGCTTGTGTCCCTGGGTGGGGATGGGAGCACCCTGGGAGGAGCCAGGAGGGGCTAGGAACTCATGGCCGTCTGGGGGTAGCAGGGGTGTGACACTTGGTCCCGTGCCCAGGGATCAGTCTGGCCAGGGTTGGCAGGGGACAGGGGAGTGTGTCTGGGAGGTGTCAGGGCAGGCTCTGGGGCAGACGGAGGAAGGACTCATGGGTGGACCCTCAGGGTGCTCAGGGTCGGGTGCCCAGTGTGGGATAGCCCAGGAGATGAGTGTGCCAGGCACCGCGGCCCTGCTGGCTTCTGTGCTTTGGGAAGCCTGCCTTGCCCACCCCGAGCCTCCTGGTGAATCCACTTTCCCTGGGCTGTCTCTCTGTCCCCCTGAGTCCATGGGCTGGGGTGGTGGTGGGAAGGTCTGATGCAGCTTTGAGCCTCAGCACGGAGCCAGGCAGTGGCAGGGGTGGGCTGGGGTCGCTGCCCAGGCCCAGCGTGAAGGGAGGAGTGAGTCTGTGCAGATCAAGTGCCCTTGGTGCTGGCCAGGACCCCTCCTCCCCTGCCTCCACCACCCCTGGGGGAGCCCCTGACGGCTGCCGGCAGGGTCAGGGTCCCAGGGAAATTGTGTCCCAGTTTATTCCGTGTCAGTGGCTGGAAACGAGGCCACTCCGTTTAACCAGATTCAGGCCTTTTTCCACCCGCCCCCACCTCTCCTGCAATGGGGTGCCCATGGGTGCTGGCTGCTGATGCCCACTAAGGCTGGCACTCCAAAGAGGTGAGGCAGCTGGAGCTCAGGGCACAGGGGCTTGGGGCACCCACAGAGCTGGCCATGCCTGTCCCGCCCCCCGCCCCAGCCCCTCCTGACTCTGGCCTGCCCCGCTTTGAAGCACGCCTCCTGTGGCTCAGGCCTGCTTGGACTGATGGGGGCCTAGGGCCCAGCAGTACCTGGCATTCAGTGCTGAGGTGCCCAAGGGTGTGAGCAGAGGCTCTTCCAGGCAGGGGCCTGCCTCACCAGCTCCCGTCCCAGGTGTCAGGGAGGGGAACCAAGATGGGTCTTTAGCTTGATGGGAGTGAGGACAAATGGTCCCAGCTGGGGTTCAGGTTCCCCTGGAACATGTGCCTCTCTGGGCCTCAGTGTCCCCGTGACCATAGGCCAAGGGCAGAAGCCACGACAGCCTGGTCTCAGGAACGGAGCAAGAGCCGAGCAGGGGAGGTGGCGGTGTGGCCGTTCCCGACGGCTCGGAGGGCGCTGGGCTAATGGCCTCTGGTGACTGGCACCTGGGCAGCCCCCAAATTACTTTCCCTTGGCTGCAAGTAGCTGGGAGGAAGGTGAAGATTCCCATTTCTGAGGGGCATCCCGGGGGCACAGCAGGTTTGAGGGCAATGACGCTTTCGGTCTGGGGCAGGTGGCACTGGTCTGGGCTGGAGGTGGGGAAGCCCCTGGGGCTGCAGGGGTGACTGAAGCTGTGTGTGGGTGGAGGGGCTCAGGGAGGAGAGGGGTGGCTGGCGGGGAGGAGAGCAGGGTCCAGCGGGGAGAGGAGGGAGTCTGAGGGTGTGGGGCTTCGGAGATGCCAGGCCCGGGGCTGGGGCTGGCTCCTCGCCGACCTGCCCGCCTCTCCCGCAGTACGTGGTCATCCCCACCCGGCGCGCCACGGCCGTGGCCTTGCAGAGCTTCACCTCCCACCTGCTGGGGGACGCCGGGAGCCCCTACCTCATTGGCTTTGTGAGTTGCCCTAGGAAGGGGTTGGCCTGGGGAGGCTGAGGGCTTCGGGGCTGTGCCCTGACACCCGCCCCCACATCCTCGCAGATCTCAGACCTGATCCGCCAGAGCACCAAGGACTCCCCGCTCTGGGAGTTCCTGAGCCTGGGCTACGCGCTCATGCTCTGCCCCTTCGTCGTGGTCCTGGGGGGCATGTTCTTCCTCGCCACGGCGCTATTCTTCCTCAGCGACCGTGCCAAGGCTGAGCAGCAGTGAGTGGGGATGAGGGGAGGCTGCTGGAGAGCCCTGCTCGGGGGTGGCGGAGGGGAGACCTGGGTGCACCCAGTGTGTGGCCTGGTTGCTGGGGTCCAGTCCCTGGGCCTCCCCATGCCTGTGGGTCTCAGCGCCAGCATCGGCCTGGAGCTGTGGGGGCCACGGGGGTGTCCGGTGGGTCCAGGCTTGGACTTGGTGGTTTTCGAGGCTGGGACCCCTCCCCCTTCCCTTTCCTCTCACCTTCTGACTTCTTTCTTCTTTCTTCTTCACTCCTCTCTCTCTCCTCTCCCCACCCCTGGGCTCTCCCACCTCCCCCTGGGGCTGACGAGGTCCCTGCCCAGCACCTCCGGTCAGCTGGCCCCCACGACGCGATGTGCCAGAGCAGTGCCCGGGCCCGGCCCCTGCTGACGCGCCACCCTGACCCCCGCCCGTCTCTCCCCCAGGGTGAACCAGCTGGTGATGCCGCCCGCATCTGTGAAAGTCTGAGGTGGTAAGTGCAGGCAGGGAGGCCCTCGGGAAGGGGGAAGGCCAGGGCTAGGTGACAGGGAGCACTCTTCCTCTGGAGTCCCCTTCCTGCCCGAGCACCTCCTACCAACCCTGGGCTTGGACTCTGATGGTGCCAGAATTCACTGATGGAGCCATGGGTCAGGGCTCCCGCTTCCAGTAAATAGCTCCCCCTTCCTTCCTTCCAAGGGCTGGGTGGGGCCTGGCCAGAACTCCCCACTCTATCCGGACTTCCGCCCTCCTGGGTCCTCCTGGATGTACCAGGGCCTGGCTCCTCGGACCTTCCCTGTGGGAGCTAGAGCTTCCCAGCAGCACGAGAACCAGGCTCACAGCCCCAAGCCCAGGGGGATGCCTGCTGCTCGAACGGCAAGTGGAGGGAGGGCAGCCTGGCAGGGGGCCCCACTGAGCCCCGTTTCTGACCTGATGCCCCTTTCCCCAGGTGCCACTGGGACAATGAAGAACCCACACTCCCACCTAGTCTGGAAGGTGTCCTACAGCGTCTGGGACCACCTGGGCTGCCCACCGGCCTTCTGTGTGATCCACGGCTAGGCGACCACCTGCTCTGGCCAGGGCCTGCTGAGTGGCCCTGGCTTCAGGAAGAGGCGATGTCCTCAGTCACCCTGGAAGGCTGTGTGCGTTGGAGCCACGAGATTGGACAGATTCCTGGCCCTAGGTTTGGGCTGCCAGGCCCCTGGGGCCAAGGAAGAAGGCAGCCCAAAGTGGGTGTCCGGCGAGAGCCTGGCCTGCCACCAGCCTATGTGATCCTGGGCAAGTCCCTGCCCTCCCTGGAACGAAGGGCCAGGGGGCTGGACTTTCCCAGGCAACTTGCTGGGCAAAGCACGATCCGCAGTTTTGAAGACTCACCAGGCCCTGGGCCATATGGAGTGGGAACGGCCCAGGCCTTGGAGCGGCAGTCCCAGCTTTGAGGCCCAGGCAAGGGCCGGCATTCAGGACCACTGCTTCTCAGCTGGCCTTTGACCTTGGGGACATCGGACTCAACCTGGCAGATGAAGCTGGGCACCCCCTGGCCAGGCTGGTCTCTCTGGAGGCCACCGTCTCACTATCTCGGGTTGGCTGCTGGCCTCGAGGTCCCAGGCGGGGACTGTTCTGATAAGCTGGCATCACCAGGGGTGAAGGCCCTGGCTGCAGCGGCACACCTCCTGGGCCCCAGGCCCGTGGTCTCGGGGGTTCACACACCAGCCCACCTCTGCAGGGCTCCTGGTGGCCCCAGGAATATTTCTGCTGTCTAGCCCTTCCCTGCCACCACCCCAAGCCAGGAACCCACTCCCTCCAGAGGCTGGGCTGAGCCTTGGCCAGGGCCAGGGCCCAGGAGACCATTCCTAGAATCCACGGGGCAGCCGCCAGGGCTCCGCTGCTGGAGGAAGCAGCTCTCCACAAAGCTTCCTGCATGGGCTGAGGAGCTGGGAAAGGCCAGCCCCTATCACAAAAATGACCCCCGGGGCCAGGCCTTCACCCTGGCTTTGATCACCCCACTCACGCCTGTGCGCACACCAGGGTGCAGCTGCCAACGTCACACCAGCTCCAAACCCCTTTGGGGGAGCTTAGCCCCTGTGTCACACACTCCCTGCACATTTGCTGCCATCAAGGTGGTGCCGGTGTGGGGGGCCCCAGTGGCCAGCAGGAGACCCCGAGAGCTGGCTTGGACAATGCTCTTCCCCCCTAGTTACTGGCTGGCTGTGGCTTCAGTGGGTGTAAGCTAATGGAATACCCACCCACCGAGCTCTGGGGTACCCGGGGAGGCCTGATGAGGGTGGGGTGGGGATGGTACCCCCGAAGCCTGGCCTCCACCCCAGCCTCAGCCGGGGCCCCAGCGATGTTTTCTTGTTGTACAAGAACCAGGTCCAAGTGTTGCCTCCTCTTCCTTCCGGAAGCCAAACTGCTCCTTTATTTTTTAGAGCTGCTGATTGATTGTGAATCTCAGAGTCTTAAGAGAGAAGCCAAATATATTCCTCTTGTAAATGAAGAAATAAACCTATTTAAATCACCCCCTGTGGCTCCCTTAGCAAAAAAGCCTGGGGGGGGGATGCGAGTGACGGTCACACCTGTACCCAGCCTGCAGCCAGCATGTCACCCTGTACCCACCTAGGCAAACCCCAGAGCCCTGGACCTGGCCCACAGGGCCCTGAAGCCACAGTTCCAGTCTAGAACCCCCCAGGGCGGGGGGGGGGGTCTCTGCATCCTGGGACCCCTGCAGGAACGGCTTGGGCTGTGCTTACCAAAGCAGGATGCCTGGGCAGGCAGTGACACCCTCCCTGGGGACAGAGCCTTAGAAGTGGCTTGCATATTCAAAATCATGGTGGAAAAACAGGAGTCTTGGGCAGATGGAGGCTGAGGGTGGCCTGCACTCAGGGCTTCCCCGCCTTCCTCAGCTGCGTTTTCTTCTTCTTGGTTCCACTCTGGAGCAGGCTGGGGCTCCTGATGACCAAAGGCGGCCTTGCCTTTTTCCGTGCCAGTGTGGATGGTGGCGATTTGTCCAAGACCCCCTTTTTGGGAGGAGCCTCGTGGTGCTTCTTTTGGCCTGCAGGCTTCATCGGGGAGCTGGGAGCTCCATTCACCTGGGACAGCTTCTGGTTTTTCTTCTGCAGTTTTGGGGACTTGGCAGGGGGGCTGGGGCTCAGGGTGGGGGTGCCAGGGGCTGGGCCCTTGGTGGAAGGCATCCCGTTGGCCCGCGCCAGGCCCTTGGCCTTTGTCCTGTTCCTCTTCCTGCCCGTGCTGGGGGGCTGGCTCCCGCCGGTGGCTGCGGGCGTGCCGTCCTGAGACGTGTGTTTCTTGCGCTTCTTTGTCTCTGGCAAGAATCCCTTTTTCTTCCGCTTCCTGCTGATGGGGCTCTGGGTGGCGCTGGGAATCTCCTTGGCATCCTTCTCCAACTTGGGGCGCCTGAAAGGGAGTGAGCAGGTAAGAAGGTGCCAGTGATGATGGCAGCCACCTCCACCCGGGTCCCACGGGGCCCCAGAGGCCGAGGGCTCCCACATCTGAGTGTGTGCAGCAGTGTGAGGGCGATCCGAGCCCCGCCCAAGTGTGCGTCCCCCGCCCAGAACCTACTGGACTCCCAGGGTTTTCATGGCCTGCCAGTAGAGGTCGAGCAGGCGGCTGGAGCCGGTGCAGTGCGCCCCCTGCCGCAGGCCCTGCTGCTGCCCTTGCAGCACGCCCAGGAGCACCGTCAGGTCCAAGGTCAGCTTCTGCAGAGGGTGGGAAGGCAGAGCGGTGGTGGCCGCAGCGGGCAGGCCTCTCGGGTTCCCGGTGGTCTTGCCACCTTGGCCCTGTTGCTGTCTCGCCAGTGACCCCTGCACTCTCCTGGGCCTCAGCTTCTCCTTCTGCCTGTTAAGGCGTCCGTGTCTCTCTCACCGTTGGAGGAAACACGTGCCCAGGTGTTGGTTTTCCTCCTCCCCACAGCCACAGGCCTGGTCTCAGAGCCTCCACCGTGGCCCTGGCAAGCCCACCTCCAGGAGGGCCATCCCCGCCACTCCATCACTGTGGGGCTGCCAACACCCTTCCCCTCAGCCTCCCTGCACGCCCTGAATGGGTTACTGTCGGAATCTGCTGGCTTCCAGGAGCCCCGCTCTCCTGGCTTCCTCACCATCACCCAGTTTTGCAAGGCCCCATCCCCGGCCCCACCTCTGCCCGCCGGCGCAGCCTTGGCAGGCTCTCCCTCCCTAAGGGCTGACTGGCACCTCTGCTGAGGCCTCCCAAACCTTGCCCTCTGGGCCAGACTGGGGGACCAAGATGGCCACCTACAGCTGCCTCCCGGCCCTGCCCTGTGGCTACCCAACATGTCACATTCCACCGGCCCACAGCCTGCACCAGGCCTGGAAACATGGCCTCCTTAATGTATGTCCACCGAGTCTTCTCCCACCCTTCCACCGTCTCCAGCCCTGCCAACCCCTTCTCAGCCTTCTCACTGACATGGCAGCGCCACACCCTTGCACCCCACCCTGCAGGACAGGGTGGCACAGTCCCTTTCCTAGTCACTTGCCCATCCACGGCTCTGTAACTGCACAATGACAGTCCAGAGCCCCGACCAAGGCACTGAGAACCTTCCCCACATGACCCCCGCCTCCAAGGTCTGGCCCGGGGAATGGCACTGCTGCCCGGGAGGCCCCGAGGCCCCCAGGAGGAACCCGACACTGCCCCGGGCTAGGTCCCGCCTCACCTCGTGTTTGCAGGTCCTGAAGACAGTATTGAGCAGCTCCAGGGAGGACAGCGCCTGCTGGTGCTCCGCCTTGGTCTGCGCCTCCCCCAGTGTGCGCAGGTTCTGGGGAGGGGTGGTTGGGCTGAGGCACTCCGGAGAGATGTCAAAGCCTTTGTTTCCCAGCAGGGACTAAAGCCCAGAGGCAGGGACCGTCTCCTGGGACAATCCCAATTCCCTGTCCCCCCACCCCCCACACTCCAGGAGGCTCAGGCTCCAATCCTGGCTTGTCCTCTCCCAGAGAACCCATCCCGAGCAGGCAGGGAGGAGGGGCGCCCCCCGGCTGTTACCTCCGTGACCTTTGTCAGGACCTGGCCGATCAGCTGCTTCCACTCGGGGTCCTGGAAGGACGACCTCACCTCCCGCATGGACAGGGTCTTCTGTAGCAGCAGGCAGGCCTGGGCCTGTGGTTGGGTGAAGGTGGGTGCCTGGAGCCTCAGCACATCGGGTGCAAGAGACTGACAGGGGCGAGAGGGCCTGCTAGGCATGGCTGTGGGCGGCATGTGAGGCCACCTTCTGCTCTGGGCTCCGTGAGCACCTGCTTGCATGCCTTCATGTACAGGTGGGGGCACCGAGGCCTCCCAGCTGGATAGAGGTGGGACCTCAGGTGGGACAATTCCTACCCATTCCTGGCTAATGCCATCTTCATTCAGTTTGCCCCCAGCAGCCCTGGCACCTGAGCAGACACTACCGGGGTGTCCTCTGTGTGGCCAGATGGGCAGCGGTGGCTGCGGGAGTGAGGCTGGCCCCGCCCCTTGAGCGCCTCTGTGCTCACAGTGTGGCAGGGACGGCTGCGCCCGTGTTCACCAGAGCAGTGCTCTGGGGCCTCAGAAGCGGGTTAAGCAGGTTAATTCACACAGGCCCTGGGCTGGGAGCCGGGAAGTCTCTTACCTGCTGGCGGGGCCGCCCTGGGCCTGTGATGTGCTGGACCAGGACAGGGAGCAGGCTCTTACAGAGCACCTGGCGGGGAGGGGAGGCCTGTGAGGCATGGGTGGGGCTGAGAGGGGACCCCAAGTGGGCAGGGTGGGCCCCGACACTCACGGGGTGCCGGGAGAAGAGGCTGAGGAACATGGGGACCGTGAGGGGGCTGTGGCGCTTGGTCAGGAAGGAGCTCAGTGCTGACGAGTAGACGCGCATCGCGAGGTTCAAGTCCAGGCAGCCGGCAGCCTAGGCCAGGTGAGAGAGCTGGCTGAGGCCAGGAGAGGGCCGCTGGGACGGGAGCAGAGACTGGGCTAGCTTCGGACGGCGGAGGGTGGGTCCTGGGGAAGTGTGACGTGTGTGGGCTCCGCCTAGGCCAGGCCCTGCTCACCTGCGGGCCCTCGGGCACGGGGCTGGGGTTGGTGCCAGCCTCCAGCTCCTCCTGTGTCTCGTGCAAGTGACCCTCGGGAGTGCCGCCCTTCAGGACCCGGAGCAGGTAGAGGGAGGCGTTGAAGTGGTAGAGGGCAGTGGAGGAGTCGGGCTGGCGGCCAGCCTGCTCCACCAGCCGCGCCACCTGGCCATGCAGGGCCTCAACGCGGTCACCCAAGTCGTGGCAGTAGCGACGGCCACGGCACAGGTGGTGCCTGTGGGTGGTGAGGACAAGAGCTGGTCAGAACAGACTCAGTCCACCCCACTCTGCCAAGCAGCGCCAAGCAAGTCCCACTTTACAGGTGAGGAAACAGACCTGGAAGACAGGCGTGACCGAGGCCACAGAGGAAGGCAGGGCCTCCTGTAGGTTGCTTGGGAGCTATGTGGGCTCAGCATGCTTCGGCAAGGGGGCACCCTGGGGGAGAACAGAACAGCTCCCCGAGGGGGGGCTGCACCAGGGCCACCCACCCACCTGGCGCACCTCTCTTGTCCATACTCGTCCCTCATGGGGCAGTGGCCTTCAGGCCTTTTGTAAAGTGAGGCGAGGGTTCTGTGCTCAGAACCCTATGTGGCCCTGCAGGGCCGGGACAGAGTGGAGACGAGGGGCAGGGTGCTTAATGAGCAACACTGTCCACGCACACTGGCAGAACTACCTGAGAAGGTGTGGCCTGGGGCTGAGTGGAGGATGACCGCCAGCCACGCCCCCCGCCCTGCAGACCATCCGCGCAGTGCCCAGGGGCCCAGGCCTTCAGCTGCCCAGCACCTGAGCCCTGAAGGCAGGTCTGCACCTGGCTCCTGCCTGGCTCTCCCCAGCCTGCCATCGCCTCCCTGCTGGGCCCTGCCTCCAGCCCAGCCCTGCCCAAAGCCTTCTCCACGCCACCAGCCATTTCCGAAAAGGGAAACCAGACCCACAGCCTTCCCCATGCCAATGCTCCTGCTGAAAATGCCTCTGTGGCCCCCAGCCCCACTAGGGTCAGGGCCTTCGAGGGTACATGGGCCTGTGGCCTCACGCCTCGCCTGACCGCCTTTCATCGGGACGCTCTTTCCCCTTTCTGCACTCCCCAAGGCCTCCCAACCTGACAAACTCCCAGATACACTGCACCTCTGAGGACTGGGTGGGTGTCCCCACCCACCCCCACACAGCCCCACTGGAGACTGTCAAGGGCTAGGATGGACCCCAGCTCCAGGGCACCGCTCGCACGTGTCAGGAGAACACAGGGATGGACCAAGGACCGTGTGAATCGCTGAGTGACACGTGACCTAGGGCTGAGCGGTAAGCCTGTGAGCTAGGGCCCAGGCTGGAAGCTTGGCTCTCTCCTTCCCGTTCAGAAAGCAAGCCAGGAGTTCTGCCTGGGGGCTGGGGACTGCTGGCTGCACCCGCCCGCCCTGCCCCTCGCTCACGTGAAGATGCGCGCCGTCTTGTGCAGGAAGTCCTGCTCCTGCTTGGAGCTGCTGCTGCGCAGGCTGCGCCGGATGATGCGCAGCAGCGGCTCCAGCAGCTCCAGGACCAGGACGTTCTCGGGCTGCTTGGTCACCAGCACCTCCACCAGGTCCAGCACCTGCGGCCGCGAGAGCTGGTCAGCAAGGCGGGGTTGGGGCATGGGGCGGTGATGGAGGTGGTGGGGGCGCCAGGCCCCAGGCTCACCCGAATCTGGAAGTCACGTCGCAGTGCCTTCTCCTTCTGCAGCTTGCTCTTCTCGTCTCGCCGGGCCTGGATCCGCAGCTTCTGCTCGGCAAAGAGGCTGGCGAGGCTCTGGTCCAGGGCCATCATAGCCTCGTCCCCCAGCTCCTCCTCGTCCTCACTCTCCTCTCCACCCTGAGGGGCAGAGGCCCAGCGGTCAGCCTGGCACACAACACGGGGACTCACGAGCCCTCCCCGGCCCTGCTCACCAGCGCCTTCCCAGCCTGCAGCACACTCATCAGCTGCTCCCGGAAGCCCTGGTCCACGTCCCCGTCACGCTCCTCCTCCTCGCTCTCCCCTCCATCGCTCTCGTCTTCACTCTCCGAGCCTCTCTTCTCCTCGCTGTCCTCGCTCTTGTCCTGTGGGGTGGGGGCAGGTGCGTCACGCACCTTCCCGATCTTCCCACTCCTGCCACCCCGCCTGGCCCGCGCCGGCAGCACCTCTGCAGCCTTCAGCCACCGCTCGTCAGACTCGTCCGTCACCACCACATGGTCATCCTCATCCTCACTGGTCTCGGGGTTCAGCACCTGGGGAGGAGACCTGGCCACTGACTCATCTGCGGCCCCTGCCCGGCCTTGGCCAAAGGTCCCCATTTCAGGGAAGAAAACAGAGCCTAAGAGAGGTGGCCACACCCTGCCAGGCCAGGCCAGGGCCTTGCCGAGACCCCTCCCACCAGGCGCAGGCTCGCAGGAGGGAGGCTGGGAGGCCACAGGCTGAAGTGCTCCCCCACACGGTGCAGCTCGCTGCTCAGTGAGCCCCAGCCCAAGGTGCATTCCCAAAGATCCCAACTCACATCCAGAATCAGCTGTAGGGCACGTGGGGTCAGGTGGGAGCAGACGTGGCCAAACACGCTCCGGGCCACTTGACGCATGAGGTGGCTGGGCTGGGCCAGCAGGGCCAGCAGGATCTCCACCAGCACCTCTACCCATGGGGGCTCCTGGGGGTCTGCAAGGAGGGGATTGAGCCCAGGCAGGGGACTGCTGGCCTCATTGCGCCACTCCAGTCCCTCTCGTGCCCAAGGACACACCCTGTCCCAGGAGCAAGGACCTACCGATGGCCTTGGTGAGGCTCCTACGGCGCCTCTCTCCCAGGCTTTTTCTGATGCAGGTCTGGATGTCACCCAGCAGGTCACAGCTCTCTGTAGGGGACTGGGGACAGGGCAGGACACACACTGGGGACAGCCCTTCTGAGCCAGGCAAGGGGCTGGCCAAAAGGAAGCGGTGGCACCAGAAGCCTTCAACAGCCCAGCCACTGGCCCGCCCCGGCCAGCCACCCCGCAATCCAGAATGGAAGACCCCAGCTGGGCCCCAGAATACCAAGGGCTGAGGGCCTTTTTACACCTCATACACAGTTACAGGATTTGAAAACCTGCACGGGACAGACAAGGAGGCCAGCTCCCACACTGACACTCAAGACAGGCAGAGCTGACAAGGACGGTCAGGGTCCCAGAGCAGCCAGCAAACCCCAGCCCCCAATTCATCATTCTAGATTATTTCCTCCATGCTTGGCTTGGCATCAGACAGAATTGAAAGTCATTAGTTTCAACTGATTTAATTATATCTGAACTCATCTGACGGGATAGCCCCAGACTCCAGGCACTGACGTGGCGGAGTGTGCTTGTGTGCAGGGCATCTTGACAACTGTGTGATCTTTGGTACAGAAAAGGCAGACTTTCCCCTCACAACGCAGTGGGCAGCTTCAACGTTTAGGCCAGGATGGGGAAAGCAGCCGAGGCCCTGGTCACTGCCCCCGGCTCCCAGGCTGTGTGCCACGCAGGTCCCCGTCCTCTGGGCCCCACCTTTTTAATTTATTCATTCTTTCTGAGACGGAGTCTCGCTCTGTCGCCCAGGCTGGAGTGCAAAGGTGCAATCTCAGCTCACTGCAACTTCCGCCTCCCGGCTTCAAGTGATTCTCCTGCCTCAGCCTCCTGAGTAGCTGGGATTACAGGCGCCTGCCACCATGTCCGGCTAATTTTTGTATTTTAGTAGAGACGGGGTTTCAGCATGTTGTCCAGGCTGGTCTCAAACTCCTGACCTCAGGTGACCCGCCTGCCTCGGCCTCCCAAAGTGCTGGATGACAGGTGTGAGCCCCAGCGCCCGGCCACAGCTGCACCTTTTATCTGAGGGTTTGGCACAGCAAACTGCAGCCGCCTCTGTGCAAGTCAAGACCAGAGACCCTAAGGGTGCAGGGTCCACGTGTGTCCTGGAATCAGCAGGGGCATCATGGGCGACCTTTACCCACACAGCTCATCCACAGGCTGGGCTCGGAATAACCAAAGCTGGCAAGTAAAACCTCCACAGCCAAGTGGCCAGACGGGCAAGTGAGAGACCCATCTACTCAGGCTACGTAAGACCAGCATCCTCGATAAAAGCCTCCCATGTTGTGAGAAGAAAACTCTCTAAGAATCAGGGTAAGGGCAGACGCAGTGGCTCACACCTGTAATCCCAGCACTTTGGGAGGCCAAGGTGGGCGGATCACCTGAGGTCAGGAGTTCAAAACCAGCCTGGCCAACATGGCGAAACCCTGTCGCTACTAAAAATACAAAAATTAGCCAGGCGCGGTGGCAGGCACCTGTAATCCCAGGTACTTAGGAGGCTGAGGCAGGAAGATCGCTTGAACCTGAGAGGCGGTGCTTGCAGTGAGCCAAGATCACACCACTGCACTCCAGCCTGGGCAACAGAGCAAGACTCCATCTCAAAAAACAAACAGACGGCCGGGCGCGGTGGCTCACGCCTGTAATCCCAGCACTTTGGGAGGCTGAGGCGGGAGGATCACGAGGTCAAGAGATCGAGACCATCCTGGCCAACATGGTGAAACCCCGTCTCTACAAAAAATGCAAAAAAATTAGCTGGGCGTGTTGGGGCACACCTGTAGTCCCAGCTACTGGGGAGGCTGAGGCAGGAGAACTGCTTGAACCTGGGAGGCAGAGGTTGCAGTGAGCTGAGATCACGCCACTGCACTCCAGCCTGGTGCCTGGTGATGGAGTGAGACTGTCTCAAAAACAAACAAACAAACAAACAAACAAACAAAAAAGGAATCAAGGTACTGAGTGTTGAATGTGGTCAGGGCTTCCTGATGCGAAGAACTGACAGGGAGACCCCGTGGTTCTAGAGAACCCGTGGCCAGAAGGTGTTCCCACAGCCAGAGGGTACAGTGCAAGCTACTCTGCCTCCGAGTCTCGGTTTTTCACACGTCAAACATGGAGAAGCGGAGTCTGCCTCAAGTTCTGGGGATTAAGAAGGCCTGCCTGGAAAGCTCAGGACACCAGCCGGTGCCTGCTAAGGGGCCGGAGTGATGTTTCCTTGGGTGATAATTCCACCCGTGACGAGGCTGGCTTAGGAAACCTCCCAACGTAACTCCCCAAGCCTTTCCTGGCTCCCCCCCATAGCCCTCATAGCCGCAGGACCCCAGGCTCACGGCCCCTCCGTCCCAGGCCACAGTACCTTGAAGAGGTGGATGCCCACGAGCAGCAGAAGGTGCTGGAAGGCGGCAGCCCTGGGCTCTGAGGAGGGGGCCTCCAGCTCCTTCAGAGTCTGTAGCATCCTGTGGAGAGCCAGACGGATCCTCAGGCCCCAGCCGCCATCAGACCGCGGTGTCCTGCCCACCCCCTGGAAATCCCACCCACTCACCGGTCCCAGGCCTGGCGCTGCTGCGCAGTGAGGGGTGTCACGGGGGTCACGCTGTGGCTGTGATTCAGCAGCAGGTCTGCGAAGTGCACCAGGCGGTAGGTCCAGGGCTGCCCGCCCCGGGTCTGCTCCGATGCCGGCTTGAACTGTGTGCTGAGGGTCTGCAGCAGACTAGGCGAGGGGCAGGGCTTGGTTACCAGGCCGATGAGTGAATACAGCCGGTTCCCTCTGCCCTCCCCAGGGCTCGGTCTCCCACCTCTCCAGGACCTGCTAGAACTCCCTGGGCCCCAGCCGTTGTCCCCAGTGTAGGGAACTGCAGGGAGCAGGCGTCCTCAGGACCTTCCCACCTTCGGACCTCTCCTGAGCCGCCCCAGGCTCACCTGAAGAAGGCGCTGCTGACCGCCTCTCGGGCCTGGCTTTCCAAAGGGAGGGAGAGCTGCTGCCTTGTCTCGGGGATCTGGGATGTGGGCTTCTTTGTGACGAAGAACGAGTGGAACAAACAAAACCTGGGGCGGGAAGGAGAGCAGAGCGCCGTTCAGGGCCATTTGTTTCCACGGGCTCCCCTCCCCGGATGACATCACTCAGGGTTCAAGGCCAGGAGGAGGAGGGGAGCCCTTCTGTCCCCTTCTGCTCTGGGTACAGTCCTCAGGGCCCTCACGGGCAAGGCTGGAGGTGGCTGGGCCAGGAAGGGCTGGATCCCCAGCTGAACACGGCTCAACCCGAGCTGGGGGAGAGAATCGGTGCCCCTTTCAAGGAACCAAGAGACGTGAGGCTGTGTGGTCACGGCCGAGTTATGCCACTGCTCCTGCAAAGACAGGGCCAGTGCAGCCCCCTCCTGCAACTGGGCACGCTGAGGGTGAGGTGAGCACCCGGCTCTGCTCGGGCACAGACGAGGCAGGTGTGGGGCAGGCTTCCCCGACGCCACCCACGTGCAAAGGCTCCCTGCAGGGCACGCACAGCACACCCGAATCTCTTAGGTGCCTGCAGCTGGGGTGGTTCCTGGGTCCCTTCCCTACAGGCTTCAGAGGAATTTCCAAGTCCCCTTGTGCCTGCTCCCCACTGATGACTCAACCCAAAGGCTTCTGGCTTTGAGCACACAAATCAGGATGAGTTGAGGGGCTCAATTCCCTGTCCACACACCCGCAGGAAGCGCTAGCACCTCTCTTACCTGGCCACTTGCTCCGTCAAGGCCTCCTCCATCTCCAGATGCAGGCTGTCCACGAGGCTCACCAGTCGGAGGATGATCCATTTCCTCAGCCGGAACACAGCTCGTTCAGGCCTGGGGCACAGGGGCGAGGTCACATGAGCCACTTAGAACTGGCAAAAGCAGGCTGGGGCCAGTGACTCACACCTGTAATCCCAGCACTTTCGGAGGCCGAGGCAGGTGGATTGCTTGTGGTCAAGAGTTCTAGACCAGCTTGGCCAACATGGTAAAACCCCATCTCTACAAAAAATACAAAAATTAAGGCCGGGTGTGGTGGCTCACGCCTGTAATCCCAGCACTTTGGGAGGCCGAGGTGGGCAGATCACCTGATGTCGAGAGTTCAAGACCAGCCTGACCAACATGGAGAAACCCCATCTGTACTAAAAATACAAAAATTAGCTGGGCATGGTGGCACATGCCTATAATTTCAGCTACTTGGGAGGCTGAGGCAGGAGAATCACTTGAACCCAGGAGGCAGAGGTTGCAGTGAGCTGAGATCGTACCATTGTACTCCAGCCTGGGCAACAAGAGTGAAACTCCATCTCAAAAAACAAAAATTAGCTGGGTGTGGTGGTGGGTGCCTGTAGTCCCAGCTACTAGAGAGGCTGAGGCAGAGACTCGCTTGATCGCTTGAACCCGGGAGGCAGAATTTGCAGTGAGCTGAGATTACACGCCACAGCACTCCAGCTTAGGTCACAGAGTCAGACTCCATCAAAAAAAAAAAAAAAAAGAACGAACTGGCAAAAATAGGACACTCCTTTAACTGATCTCAAAGACAGAAACCAAGCTCTCCCCCTCCCAATTGCCAGTGTGGGACCTCACAAGGAAACTGAGGCCTCATTTGAGAGCTACGGTGCTTCCCCTCTCTCCGCTCATGGTTTAGAGCCAGGACACCGTGGGCGGGGTGGGGCTGGGGTCGCTGGGCTCTGCAGGCCAGGGAAGCTAGCTCTTGAAGGAGGGGTCCTTCGCACGGTCCACTCACACGTGCAGCGATGCATCCTGAGCTTTCTTCTGGTTGTTGGTGCTGAAGTCAATCAAGGAGTCCAGGTCCGGCTGGAGAAACATGTCCTGCAGCCAGGCCACGTAGCCCTGCAGTGCCCGAGGGCTCAGGAACCGCACGACCCGCCAGAAGGTAGGCACCACCGGGAGGCCGTGGTTGGTGGTGGAGGAGAAGGCCACCAGCACGGCCAGCTGCCGCTCAGGGTCATCCTGGCATCCCTCTAGGAAGGTGCCCACGTACTCCTCCATCTCCGGGGCGAACTTGAACTGGTTTGGGAGCTGTAAGAGTTAGGCATGGCGCTGAGCCCACAAGTTTGCGGCCTTTAGGGTTAAACTGAGGCCCAGGGTCTTCCCTCGCACACAGCAGGGCTGCGCCTGAGCTTGCTCCATTCCTGGTCACCCCAGTGCTTCTGTCTGGCGTCAAGGCCTCCCCAGGTCCGACTTCCCCAGCTTCAGTGTCTCTGGCCCCAGAAGGCCCCTCTTGCCACATTGCTGGGTGGGGATGGCCCGTTTTCCTGGCTGAACGCACAGGCAGAGCGGTGGTTAACAGGCTAGGCTGACCCGGGTTCAAGGCCTACGCCGCCCATTCCTAGCCATGTCATCTTCGGGACCGAACCCAACCACCTCTCACGCGCTGCCGTGTTGCCAGGACCCGCGCTCCGTGTTTTTGTCTGGTAGCTTAGCATTTTAGCAACCCTTTGCACTTGGCCATTACTGCCATTGTGTAGGTGAGTAAAGTGAGACACAAAAACGCCCAGAATAAAACTACTCAGGTCAGAGGGCTCCCAGCGGGACCACGTCTGGCCTCACAGCCCAAGCCCTTTTCATTTTAATTTTCTCCAGTTGTGCCCCTGGAGTGCAGTGCCACGATCACGGCTCACTGCAGCCTCCAATTCCTGGGTTCACGGGATCGTTCCACCTCAGCCTCCCGAGTAACTGGGATTACAGGTGCACGCCACCGTCCAAGCCAGGCTCTTAACCACTGCCTGATGCTTCAAGTCTGCCCCCTCACCCAGAGTGACGGCTCTTGGAAACTTGTTGCAAAGATAAAATGAGCTGCTGAGAACAGTAAACCCAGCAGTGCTGACTGGGCATCAGGCACACTGGCGCTCAAACAGTCATGACGACTGTTCTCGTCACCGCAACAAGGGTGGTGGTGGAGAGAGGTCTCAACAGCCCGCTGGCTACCCACACCCAAGAGGGGGCCCGCTCCTTTTCAAAACTGTCAGAGGGAAGCCGGGTGCAGTGGCTCACATCTGTAATCCCAGCACTTTGGGAGGCTGAGTTGGGTGGATCACCTGAAGTCAGGAGTTTGAGACCAGCCTGGCCAACATGGCAAAACCCTGTCTCTACTGAAAATACAAAAATTAGCTGGGCGTGGAGGTGGGCACCTGTAATCCCAGCTACTCAGGAGGCTGAGGCACGATAATTGCTTGAATCCGGGAGGCGGAGGTTGCAGTGAGCAGAGATTGCATCATTGCCCTCCAGCCTGGGCGACAAGAGGAAACTCCAACTCAAAACAATCTGTCAGAGGGGAAGGGGTTCAGGCAGCTCACTACCCAGACAGCGGGGACACCCAGGTCTCCGGCCAGGCCCCTGAGGTGCTCTCTCCCCTTCTTGGCAAGGAGAGCCCCTGCCTAGCCTTTCCGGCAGCATCGGGCTGCACGGGCGGTGTGCCCACCTTGGCCGTGCACGTGTGTTCTCCGTAATGGCGGATCACGTCTCCCCGCATCACCAGCTGCAGCTGCTCCTTGGTCAGCAGGGGCAGGGCGGCGCCCAGCAGGCGGAAACACAGGTAGCTAAGAGGGAGTGTGGGACCGAGCATGGTCAGAGCCCTTGGTCCCCCTGCAGGGACCTCAGGACTGGCAGCCCAGCCCCACTTCACAGACAGGGAAGGGGACTGAGAGAGGCCACGTGCCGCACGCACCTGGCTGGCCAGAACTGCAGCTTCAGCAGCCTCTGTTCCACCACCCCCTTCCAGAACTGCAGAAACTTGTCTTCCTTGAGTGCCAGGCGGAGCAGCTCCAGAGCGACAGTGGGCAGCTTGCGCTCCTTCTTCACGGAGGACGCTGCCATCTTCAGCACGTTCACCAGCCTGTGGGGCGCAGGGAACTCAGGGAGCGCTTGCCTCACTGGCAAGGGCTAGGGTGTCAAGAGCAGCCGGGGCACCCCCAGGCCACAAGGCCAATCTGGGCCTGGCCAGATGCAGTCCCACGGCCCCAGGGAGGGCAAATCCACCCACCTCCCTCACACCTGGGAACATTCTCATCCGAGAATAGGTTGACGGATCCCACCAGCTTCTTGAGCCTAGACGGCACCTTCTGCTGGGCCAGGAGGAAGAGCCCCAGCTGTTCAGGGCAGCTGAGCATCGCATCCAAGTCGGTGCTGAGGACCTCTGGTAGCATCTCCTGCAACGTGGCCTCCGAGACCTAAGGGTGAAGAGGTAAGAAATGGCGGCTTCCTCTGCAGGGTGAGCCCAGTGCGGCCTCTTTTACTTGCCAGGCTGTGACATAGGGCCACCTGGCCAGGCGCCAGAGTCATCAGAGGCCATTTGCTGAAAAACTCAAATTCCCAGGCAGCTGGGTTTTTGACAAGCATCCCGCTGATGCTAACTGGCCCGGAGTTACCTGCCTTTTTTTTTTTTTTTTTTTTGGAGACAGTTTGCTTTGCCACCCAGGCTAAGTGCAGTGGTGTGATCTCAGCTCACTGCAACCTCCACCTCCCCGGTTCCAGCAATTCCCCTACCTCAGCTGGGATTACAGGTGTGCACCTCCATGCCCAGCTAATTTTTGTGTTTTTAGTAGAGATGGGATTTCACCATATTGGCCAGGCTGGTCTCGAACTCCTGACCTCAAGTGATCTGCCCACCTCAGCCTCACAAAGTTCTGGGATTAAAGGTGTGGGCCATGGCGCCTGGCCAGAGCTACCCATTTAATTATTCCTGGTTTCAGGATTTCAGAGGACTAGCCCATTTTATACACAAGGGGCCCTAGGTAGACAGCTGGGATTCGAATTCAGGTCCTTTTGGCTCTGAGATCAGGACTCCTCAGTACTCCCTGGCCTGGAACTTGCCAGCCCGCCTTTCTCTTCAGTGGCAAAAAGGCCTAGGTATACCTTCCCAAGCCAGGCAGTGGAGGCCCACAAGGGACCAGCCTTGAACAGGACAGCAACAGCAAACGTTTTATATACCTGCCTCGTGCCAGGCTCAGCTCTAGCGGCACTAGCCACACGGGGCTGCTGAGCGCCTGAAAGGTGGCAATTCTGAACAGGGATGTGCCTACGTGTAAAATACATGCTGGATTTTAAAACACAATGAAAAAAAGAGTGAAGATACCTCAATGATTTTTTTTTTTTTTTTTTTGAGACGGAGTTTCGCTCTTGTTACCCAGGCTGGAGTGCAATGGCGCGATCTCGGCTCACCGCAACCTCCGCCTCCCGGGTTCAGGCAATTCTCCTGCCTCAGCCTCCTGAGTAGCTGGGACTACAGGCGCCTGCCACCATGCCCGGCTAATTTTTTGTATTTTTAGTAGAGACAGGGTTTCACCATGTTGGCCAGGCTGGTCTCGAACTCCTGACCTAGTGACTGACCCACCTGGCCTTCCCAAAGTGCTGGGATTACAGGTATGAGGCACTGCGCCCCGCCAGCTCAACAGTTTTGTATACAAATGCATACTGAAATAATATTTTAGATATACTAGACGATGTAAAATGTTACTAATGACATTTTATATCATCTAGTATGTTGTAAATGTCATTAGTTGTAATGTTTCTTTTTACCTTTTTTTTTTTTTTTGTGAGACAGAGTTTCGCTCTCATATGGCTTGGGCTGGCTGGAGTGCAATGGCGTGATCTTGGCTCACTGCAACCTCCAACTCCTGGGTTCTAACGATTCTCCTGCCTCAGCCTCCCAAGTAGCTGGCATTACAGGCATACGCCACCATGTCTGGCTAATTTTTTATATTTTTAGTAGAGACGGACTTTCTCCATGTTGGTCAGGCTGGTCTCAAACTCCCGACTTCAGGTGATCCGCCCATCCTCCCAAAGTGCTGGGATTACAGGTGTGAGCCACCATCGCTCCCAGCCACAAAAGTACCTTCTACAGCCCCTAGACTGCTCTGCTGAAATTCTCAATCACTGAGTTTTCTCTGCACAGCCTGGTCTGAGCTCCACTCAGGCTGACCCAGCGGGCCTGGGTCTTAACTGGCCCAGTTAAGACCACTACATGCCTGTAGTGAGATTACAGGCATGAGCCACCATGCCCAGCCTCTTTTCACCTTTTCAACAAACTCACTGAAACACTTCAAATTATATGTCTTTATATTTCTATGGAACAGTGCTGTTCCTGATTCTCATCTGAGCCCTCTTGATGTCTCTGTATCAGGAAATGCCTCCCGAGCCTGCACGGCTGGTGAGCTCATACCTCGGAGAGAATGTCCACCAGGGCCTTCCGGGGCTGCTCCTGCAAGTGGTTCTGGTGGTGGGCCAGGGCCTGCAGCAGCTTCACCGACTTCCTCAGCGCCTCCTGGTCCTGGTCCCCACAGAGGGACAGAGGGTCTGAGCAGGGACCGCTACTGTCCCACACCCATCCAAGGCCAGCCTACATCCCCCTGCCCTCCCAAAGCGCTCACCTTCACCAGCCGGCCTGACTGAAAGAGGGCGAGCACTCCGAACAGGTTTGCAAAGAGAGCAGGTCTCACCATTGACTAGAAAAGGAGTCCAGGCACAGCATGAGGGGCCGTGGGACTTGCCACCCCCAGCCTCTCACCCCTGGGGCTGCTGACCTCGCCGGGTCCACTCTCACCTTCTTCACCTGATGCAGGTCATATTTTTCTTGTATCTGCTGCAGGATGCTGCACAAAGGAAGGTCTTCAAAAGACTGTAATAGCTGCCAGGAGGAAGAGGGGCTCAGGAAGTGGCCCAGTACATCCTCACACCTCGCCCTCCCGTCCCCCTTCAACTCCTCCCAAGAAGCCTCTGGTGCCTAGTCGCACCCCAAGAATGCCTCTGAAGCTGCTCTCAGGGAAACCAATCTTGCCTCCCTGCGCCATCTCCGCTAGGGTTTCCAAAGTACCGTCTGCAAGTGGTTCTCAGACTGGGCTGGGCCAGGGCAGTTTTTCTTTTTTTTTTGAGATGGAGTCTTGCTCCATTGCCCAGACTGGAGTGCAGTGTTGTGATCTCCGCTCACTGCAACCTCAACCTCTCAAGTTCAAGCAATTCTCCTGCCTCAGCCCCCAAAGTAGCTGGGGATTACAGGTGTGCACCACCACACCCAGCTAATTTTTGTATTTTTAGTAGAGATGGGGTTTCAACCGGTTGGCCAAGGCTAGTCTCGAACTCCTGACCTCAGGTGATCCATCTGCCTCGTCCTCCCAACGTGCTGGGATTACAGGTGTGAGCTACCACCGCTCCCAGCCACGAAAGTACCTTCTACAGCCCCTAGACTGCTCTGCTGTAATTCTCAATCACTGGGTCTTCTCTGCACAGCCTGGTCTGAGCTCCACTCAGGCTGGCCCGGCGGGCCTGGGTCTTAACTGCTCTTCCCCTTGTCAGGGCTCCTCAGAGAGTGGGCTACTCCAATCAGCTGAGTGCCCCTGCAGGCCTAAGGGAGCCCACCCCACCCAGCGCTCACTGCTCCCAGCAAGTGTATCTAAGAGGCCGGGTAACCCAAGCACCAGAAAGAAAACCTGCTCCGCTTCCCACTCCCCCTGCCTGGACTGCTTTGGAGACAGGCCTTGCTCACGCCTTCTTCACCTTCACGTGAGGAGGCTCCCTCAGGCTGGCCTCCAGTCAGCTCTTACACTCCCGACTTCTCTCTCGGGCTGCCCCTCCGCCGCGCTGAGACACCCGCCCTCCTCACACCCCACCTTTTTCACCTGAGTGGCTGGGATCCTGCCAGGAACACCACCTCACCTGTGCGAGGGCCAAACTGTAGCAGGGCCGGGCTGTTTCTCGCCCGACCCCGAGTCCCGTGATTAGCCGTTTCAGGGCATATTTCATCTCGGACCCCTACGGAACCAAGCGCACCCTCGCGTTGAACGGTGACAAGAAGCTGCACGCCCCCGCGCACCTTGGCATCCAGGTTCGCGACCACGTGCCCCCATCCCAAACCCCTGGGCCCAACGCCGCTTCCTTGTCGGGAAGTGCGCGGCCCCTGCCCCAAACCCGCCGCTCCACCTTCGGCCTAGCGCGCAGATACTCCAGCAGCTTCTCCGTGGCCGCAAGTCGCGTCTCCTGCTCAGGCTTCGCAATGTCCCAGAAGAAGTCCAAGAACTCGCGGCTGTGTTTCAACAGGCCGTGGCGGTCGGCAGGCCGAGCGCTGTTCTGCGTCGCGTCTCTGGGCGACAGGGGCTCGGCGGGTTCGCGGCTCCCCATCTCCGCCACACTCACAGAAACACGTGTGTCCCGGATCCAGCCGCTTCCAGGTCAGGGCGCGGCGCATGCGCACTGGTTTTTTGAGTTGGCTCGGAGGGGGACCTGGGAGGGGCGGGGCAGGGGGCGGGGGACCCAGGAGGGGCGGGGCCGGGCCTGGGGGAACCAAGAGGAGCGAGGCTGGGGCGGGGACGCAGGAGGGGCGGGGACGCAGGAGGGGCGGGGACGCAGGAGGGGCGGGGACGCAGGAGGGGCGGGGACGCAGGAGGGGCGGGGACCCAGGAGGGGCGGGGACCCAGGAGGGGCGGGGACCCAGGAGGGGCGGGGACCCAGGAGGGGCGGGGACCCAGGAGGGGCGGCATTTCCGCCGTCGCTGTGAGCGGAAGTCCTTTGCTGCGCCGCGCGCCGTGGCTCCAGCCTTCCGCTGACTCCCGCTCTGCCCCGGCGCCTGGGGCATCTGCCCCTTTGGAGCCGCACGGGGCGGTGTCTGAGGGCCCATCTCGGAGGCACACCGAGGTGCAGCACATCATCCGCCTCGTCCCGGAGCGGCTCTGCGCTCGGAGCCCTGAGCCCTGAGCCAGCAGTTACTGGCTCCTGCTGTGTGCCGAGCTAGGCGGTTGGAACAAAGCGGCTGCTCTCGTGGAGGAGCACAGAGCCAAGAGCGTTGAAAAAGGTCATAATTATGAAGAGAGCTGGGAATGCAGGGGTCCGAGGGAGCCTTGTCAGTGCTGCAACGTGAATACGTCACCGGTTAGAAGCACGCCTGTGGGGAGCTGAAAAGTTCCTTTTAAAGTTTCCTTTCTTGTTAAGGAATAAGCTGCGAATAGCTGTTAAGCTGTGGGGGAAAACCCGGCAAGGGCCCGAAGCCTCAGCGTGTTCTCATATAAATGTGGGACTAGTAAGCAGTCTTGCATGTTCTTCACATGTACCCCAAAACCTAAAACGCAATTTAAAAAACTAAAAAAAAAATTAGAGATATAGTTACATAGTTATTCCTATATATAATCATAATCACATAGCTCTTCATATGTAATCATAACTATATAGAGATGTATAATCACGTAGCTCTTCATGTGTAATCATAACTATATACAGATGTATAATCACGTAGCTCTTCGTGTGTAATCATAGCTACATACAGATGTATAATCACGTAGCTCTTCATGTGTAATCATAACTATATACAGATGTATAATCACGTAGCTCTTCATGTGTAATCATAACTATATACAGATGTATAATCACGTAGCTCTTCGTATGTAATCACAGCTATATACAGATGTATAATCAGGTAGCTCTTCATATGTAATCATAACTACACATGTATAATCATGTAGCTCTTCATCTGTAATCATAACTATACAGATGTATAATCATGTATATATGTAATCATATATACATGTATGTAATGATATCATCTCTAATCTTACTAACAAGTCTCAGGAAGTATGGGACTGACGTGGCATTGGAAAAGAGGTGACCCTAAGGCCAGATGCCCTAAGCCCTCTGTCACGCCCGCATAGGGCTGCTGGAGGACTCCTGTGCTGTGCGGCAGTGTCAGCCCTGTGAAAGCGCCCGGTTTAGCCAGCTAGGGAAGGAGACGTCAAACGTGGCCGAGACGTCTCCTTCCTGGGGGAGTGAGGAGAAAACTCTGCTCCCCCAAGCTCTTGTGGCAGGCCTGATGCTGTCAGGGAGGCCCACAGACACCTGGGGACTTAACTGTCTCTCTGTGGTGCTGTGCTTCAGTGGTCACGTTCCGTGGCTACTTACAAGTTCTGCTTCTGCACCTGGTTCCTCTTTTTCTTAGAAGATAAGAGTTAGTAACATAAATCGTAGTGACCTTGTTATTTCTTGACAAGTATGAAAAAAGTGCTGATGCCTTAGGTTTTCTCCTTTCCTGGTCCTCAGTCTCCAAGACACGTGGTTTACCTGACCTTTCACTGACGGTCATCACCTCATTCTACCTGCCCTTCCCCCTGCTTTGTAAGCGGGGTGAAAGAGCGTCCAGGCCTGAGAAATAAATATGTCTGCTTTCTTTCATTCTTCGTATTCTTGTGGCAAGATGGCTAGTGAGAGAACCCTTCCTGTAGCCCAGGAAGCAAAAATTGCGTTGCTAAAAGATCCTTTGTATCAGTGCCGGGTTTTCTTTGCAGCACTGAGCATCTATTTCCAACAACGGCTAATTATTATTCAACAGAATCTATGGTAATGATTTGAGGGGTCGCTCAGGGAAGGCCTCTGTGAGGAAGTGGCTGGCATTTGGGCTGAGAGCTGAGTGTCAAGAAGCCCTCCCCCACACTCCTGCAAGGATCTAAGGGGAGGAAATCCCAATCCTTGTAACTGCAAAGGCCCAGGACTGCAGGGGCTAAGGCTAGCAGATGGCTTAGAGAAGCAAGGTTGCCTAGTGCCCCAGGCTAGGATTTCATTCTGAGTGTGGTAGGAAGTCATTGGTGAGTTTAATGCAGGGGCAGGCCTGGATCCGATTTAAATTTTCACCAGGTGATGCCGGCTGCTGTGTGGGGGATGATGGATTGTAGGTCCGCACAAGTGGAAGAACAGGAAGACCAGTTAGAGACAGTGGTGGACTGGTCCCAGGGAAATGAGAACAGGTCAGATGTGGGCTGATGTGGAGCAGGTGGGGTGCGTGATGGATTGGATGTGGGGGGAGAGGAAGTGAGGGGGATGCCAGGTTTGGGACTAAAATAGCCAGATACATTGTGGTGCCATTACTGAGCTGGAGAAGAATTTTCTTGGGAGTGGGAGGTGGAGGTGGTGGGATCAAAGGGTCTATTAAATCAGAGAAGCCTTTTGCAATGGCAGGGGAGGGAAGTGCTGCTGGTCACCCTTGCTTCCTGATTTGAGAAGCTGGTTTTAGAGGGCTGTGGTCCAGAGAGGACCTAACCCTGCGGGGAGGCCAGGGCTACCCTTCACCTTGAATTTCTACATGCTCAACTCCAACCTCTTTTGTACCTAAGCCCCTGGGGCACCTTCTGCTCACCCTCTCAACCGCTTCCCTGCTTTGCTGTCTGTTCTAGAAAGTGAGATTAGAACATTCACCTCGCACGTCTAGTGCCCCCGGAGGCAGGAGGTGAGCGGAGCTGGGGAAGCTGAAATATACCAACCCAGGCTCTCCCCTCTCTGGTTACTGGTCATCTGTGCTGCCCATCAGGGAAGCCCCTACTCCAGTTGCTTCAAAGGCTAATGGGAAATTAACCAAGAAGCAGGAACGGTGCTTGGCCTCCCAGAGACTTGATCTTTATTTTGTATCAGTCTGATTGAGGAAGATAGGTAGAGGGTGCCCTGAAGGGAAGGGCGGCGATGCCAGCAGTACCCTGGGCTCTGCCTGCCTGCTCCCTGGGCCCAGCGCTTGCCGAGGCAGAGGCTCTGCACTCTTTCTGCTGTCCTTCCGAAAGCTGGATCTGAACTCAGTGCTTGCCCCAGGCTCTGTTACTTTTTCCTCATTACCCTCGTGTTCCTTAGCTGGTAAAGGAGCCAGCGATTCCCTCAGTGTGGGTGGTTTGAAGAATGATTGTGCTAGCCCTGGATGTTACAGCTCAAATCTAGCTAATGAAAAAGGCCAGAGGTTGGGGCCTGAGCCAGTAGTGAGCACATAATAGATGCACACTGTTTTTTTTTTAAAATGAGGTTTCACTCTTGCTGCCCTGGTTGGAGTGCAGTGGTGTGATCTTGGCTCACTGCAACCTCCACCTCCCAGGTTCAAGCAATTCTCCTGCCTCAGCCTCCCAACTAGCTGGGATTACAGGCGTGCACCACCACACTCAGCTGATTTTTTAATATTTTTAGTGGAGATGGGGTTTTGCCATACTGCCCAGGCTGGTCTCAAACTCCTAGCCTCAGGTGATCTGCCCGCCTCGGCCTCCCAAAATGCTGGGATTACAGGCATGAGCCACCGAACCCGGCCATTGTTGTTATTTTTTTTTTTTCAAAAGACAGGGTCTCACTATGTTGTCCAGGCTGGAGTGCAGTGGTGTAATCCTAGCTTCCTGCAGCCTTGAACTCCCGGCTCAAGCAAGCTTCCCGCCTCAGCCTCCTAGGTAGCTGGGACAACAGGTATCTGCCACTGCACCTGGTGATTTTAAAACTTTTTGGTACAGATGAGATCTTGCGATGCTGTCTAGGCTGGTTTCAAATTCCTGGGCTCAAGGGATCTTCCTGCCTTGACCACCCAAAGTGCTTGAGATGACAGGTGTGAGCTGGGGTACACTCCATTGCTTCTGGGTCTGCTCTGCTCCTGCCCCAGGCTTCAGATAACCCTGCCTTGTACCAGACCCACCCCCATCCTGTTAGATCCCCTGGTAGGGACAGCAGCCGTGGGGGACACTGGAGACGTGGGCGTGCTCTGCATAGGCTGCCACCTGGAGCAGGGTCCCTTGGCCACAAGTGCTGGGCTGCACTGTTGGTTCTTGCTGGCCCTGGTGCTGGTGCTGGGCCTGGGTTTGGGGCTCTGCCAGGTGGCTGAGTATGGTGTGAGTCATGACTCTGGCCATTTCAGGGGTCCCTGAAGCCACTAGCCCCAACACATTGGCCTCTGTGTCATCCAGGCTGCCCCGGAGGATGAGGGGGCAGGCCCAGGCAGTAGCGGTAGACTTGGCCGTCGTGTTGCTGAGCAGAACCCCTGTGCCTGGGGACAGATATGCAGAACCAAAGGAGCCGTTGAGCGAGGAGGTGAGAAGGAGCACAGAGCCGCTGCTGTCCACGGTGGCCAGGGTGCTGCTCTCGGGGCTCACGGCAGTTTGCAGGACTGGTGGGCAGGGGTCAGGGCTGGGTGCCCCAGACCATAGGGCTGCCTCCAGCAGTGCCAGCAGCTCTGGGCCGGCTGAGGGACTGGGGGTGGTGAACAGGATGCCCTGGGCCATGGGTAGCTGCTGTGCTGGTTCCAAAGTGGGCCTGGGCCCAGCCGAGGGCACCTCCACCCCCAGGTCTCTTGCCAGCAGACTCAGTAGTGCGTCCCCGGCAAGGTCTGAGGTGGGAGCGAGGGCTGCCCTGTGAAGCATGGCTGCCAGCTGTGGGTTGGTGACTCGGGCTCCAGCGCCCAGCGGGGTTCCATCAGGATGGCAAAGCAGTGGACAGAGGCCTTCTGTGCCCCGAGCTGCCAGAGCCCTTGCCAGGGGCGTGTCCACCAGGAAGCCCTCCTGAGCCAGCGTGGTGGGGCCCACTAGCAGGCGTGGCCAGGGCAGGCGGCCAAAGTGTGCGTGCAGCAGGTGCAGGGTGGGCAGAGCTGTGGGCAGCGCCAGTCCGGGGGCCAGGGTCTGTGCTGGGCCTGATGTCAGGGCTGTGGAATTGCCTGAGGAGCTATTGTGGAAGAGGCCCCAAAACATGGCACCTGCAAGAGACAGAGGGGTCACTCAGCAGGCGTGGGTCAAGGGCTGCTGACTTGTTTCAGTCAAGATCCCTTGACTGAGTCTGGGATCAGGAGTTAGTGACCAGGCCTGAGGTCAAGGTGACGCAGACCTGGCTCAAGGGGTGGGGACTGCTGCCCAAACCCTGGGTCCTGCTCACCAAGCAGCCTTGAGGTCAGGGCTACTGACTCCCTGAGGCCCAGGTCACTGATCAGGCTGTGGGCTGGGGTTGCGGTCTGGGGTCCGGGGTCACTGACCTAGCCCCGTGGCATGAGGATGCACCACCGCCAGACACAAAGCGGCTCCCACGCCGGCATCCACGACGTTGCCCCCGGCAACAAGCAGCTCTCGGCCTAGATGGGAGCATGTGTCTGCAGCAAGGAAGGGACTGTCATACAGCAGGGAGGGGCTGGGCCCGGTGACCCCTGACCCTCCCTCCCCCGAGCCGCCACCAGCATGACTGACCTGCAGGGCTGATGATGGCACCATGGTGGTAAACACCAGGGCCATGGGAGTGTCCGCCGGGTGGAGGGGCCGCGGAGCCCAGGCTTCCTGTGGGGCTGCCTTGATGCTGGAGCTGCCGCAGCGCCAGGGAGCAGCCCACAGCCAGCAGCAGCAGGGCGGCCACTAGACGGGCCCAGGTTCCGGACAGCCCACCAGCCTTGTTCCTGCAGAGGGGTGTCCTGAGCTGCGGCTGGGACAGAGAGATGCCCAGGAACCCCGAGAGACCCCAGGGAATGTTTCCCAAAAGGTTTGATTTAGTGCTGGACATGGTGGCTCACACCTGTAATCTCAGCACTTTGGGAGGCTGAAACGGGCAGATCACGAGGTCAGGAGATTGAGACCATCCTGGCTAACGTGGTGAAACTCCGTCTCTACTAAAAATATAAAAAAATTAGCTGGGCATGGTGGCATGCAACGGTAGTCCCAGCTACTTGGGAAGCTGAGGTAGGAGAATTGCTTGAACCCAGGAGGCGGAGGTTGAGGTTGCAGTGAGTGGAGATCGCACCACTGCATTCCAGCCTGGGTGACACAGTGAGACTTCGTTTCCAAAAAAAAAAAAAAAAAAAAGGTTTGATTTAGCAAGAGGAGTACAAGTCTGCCAAGGAGAAAAGGGCTTCTTCACAGTGGGCACAACTTGGGCAAAGACATGGAGCTGTGAAAGGATTGGGGAAACTGAGGCTAGCTAAGGCGGGAGCCTCTGGAGGGGAGACTGGAGAGACAGAGTCGAATCAGGTGGGAGGGAGGCCCAATGGGGTGTGGGAGGCAGGATAGAAGGGGCTGGGAGCAGGTGCCGCCAGGTGTAGCCAGGCCCCAACCTGCCCAGCAGGTGCCTCCCATACTAGGGCTTGGGGGCTGAGGACCTTTGACAGAGCAGCAGACAGGACAGAGGCTGGCTTGGTACCGATGTCCCTCTAGATGTACAGACCTGTGACTGGGTCAGGCCAAGTCTGGGGCTGCAGCCTAGGTTTTCCCCAAGTTGATGGGACAGTGCCTGGAGCTAAGCCCAGTGGGGAGTCGCCTGGTCCCCCTGAGGGGCTCCAGAGAGAGGGACTTGCCAACCCTAAGCCTGGGGAGATTGGTCCCCAGACCCCTCCCTTACTTACCCAGAAGAGTCCTGGGGCCTCCAGGGGTTGGAAACCAGCGCCTCTGATGTCTCCTCTTCCTCCTCCTCTTCTTCCTCCTCCGACTCCAAGCTTGGCTCCCAGAGCAACAGCTTCTGATAGACTACGGGCTCTGCTGTCCCCTCCATGGCCCCCAGTGCTTGCCCCAGCCCTCCTGCCTGCCAGCCTTCCTGGCCGTGTCTCAGAGGCCCTGCCCAAGCCTGGCAGGTGGGAGGTGGCAGCGACCTTGGGGAAGGGTGGGGTGGAATCCAGAACAGGTCTGGGCAGGGCACGGGGCCAAGGAGGCTGCATATAAGCCTGCTCCATTAGGACACAAGGCCCAAGGAGTTCTCACGACACGGCTTCCAGTGTGACAGCCTGTAAGGGATCGTAGCTCAGTGAGGAGCCCATCCCTAACACCTCGACCTTGACACTCAGGTACCTGCTGGACACCCCCCTTTCCCCTTGGGGGAATGTAGCCCTTGGATCCCACCCAGGACTCTAGCCTAGAAACTGTGGACTTGAATTAGAGCTACAGTTACATGGCGACTTGGGTTGGGGGTCCCACATGCTTGGGTCAGCACATGACTAGGTACTGGCGTCAGGGTATCTGGTCTCTAGCCAGAGTCAAGGCTCAGCCTGAGGCTACGCCGGGTCTGGGTTTCTCTGGGGAGGAACTTGGTTCACAAGAGAACTCTCTGGGCGTGTTATGCGACTCTGGTTCAGGAGGTGACACCACAGCCTGGAAACCAAGCATTGCCAAGTTCGTTCTGGAATTCTCACCCAGGACCTGTTGCAAAACAGTGCTACTTGTAATGCCTCCTGTTGGAAAGTGTCAAACATCCATGATCGCTAGAATGAGTGATGTAAGTCACAATGGACCATTCTGCAGCAATGAGAACGAGCGATCTACGGTCATATGCAAATAACATACACAGGTCTGACAAACGTAAGGACGACGGAAACCTGCCAGGCCTGAGACAGCACACGCGGTATGCTTTCATTTACATAAAGCACACAAACAGGCAAAACGAGTCTGCCCTTAGAAGTAGGGACGAGAGGGCTTCTGGGATGCTGGAGATGTGCTTTCTTTTTTTTTTTTGAGACAGAGTTTTCTTTTTTTTTTGCCCAGGCTGGAGTGCAACGGTACAATCTCAGGTCACTGCAACCTCTACCTCCCAGGTTCAAGCAATTCTCTTGCCTCAGCCTCCCGAGTAGCTGGGATTACAGGTGTGCACCTCCACGCCTGGCTAATTTTTTGTATTTTTAGTAGAGACAGGGCTTCACCATGTTGGCCAGGCTGGTCTCGAACTCCTGACCTCAGGTGATCCACTCGCCTCGGCCTCCCAAAGTGCTGGGATTCCAGGCATGAGCCACCTCGCCCGGTCAAGATGTTGTTTCTTCATCTGATCATTGGTTACAGGAGTGTCCTGAGTGTGAAAATGTGTCAAGCTGGGCACTGATGACACGTACGTTTCTATATGAATATTGTCTTTCCATAAAAAAGTAAAAATGAAAAAGCTGAAATATTTTCTACATTAAAATCACAGCCATACAAATCATCCTTCATCTCATCCGGTCCTCCAGCTGCTTCCCTTTCTCTCGGCCTCTTCACAAGCAAGTACGGGGGTTTTTTAAGTTGGCCACAATCACCTGGGAGCCTGTGAAGTCAGGTCGCTGGGCTCCCGCCCCAGAAAGTCTGGCTGCAGCTGGACGTGCTTTCCTCACCGCCACAGTCCTGGAACCACACCTTCAGTCTCAAAACAAATTCAGGTTCACCTGCTGCCTTCACTTCTCTCTCTCCCGTTTCTTCGCTTAGCTGGTGTCTGTCTTTAATTCCCCAGAGAAACCTTTGGCTTCCTTTTTTTTTTTTTCTTGGACCAACAAAAAAACCAACCAATCAGAGCAGCTTAGGGTTAACACCTTCTAATTTTGCCAATGGTGGGAGGGTGGGAATCAAAATGACCATTGGATTATTTTATGACATTTTATGATTTTATGACATCATAAAATAATTTGGTTTCACTTTCTGTTAACACAATATAAGAAGGTTAGAATCTCAGAATGAAGGTCAATCCTTCCTTCCTAAGAAAAGGCATCTGAGAACCGTAGGGGTCTGTGCTGCCCCCACCTCCTGCCGCAGCCTCAGCCTCGTTTTGTCGAGCAGACAGCCTTATTTTTGGCCCCACCATGCCCAGCCAACATTCCTCTGCTCCTAGAGCTAGGGCCTGACGAGCTCTTTGGGACGAGACCTCCACTGGTTGGGTTTGGGGCACATTTCCCAGTGTGGTCTTTCTCATTTCAGGGCTCAGGGTAGGGGTGGGGGTTGGCATTGGCTTCAGGAGGCCTGGGTCTACTCCCGTGTCGGCTAATAACTGAATACATATCTGCAGGCAAGACATTGAACCTCTAGGTGTCTTCACTCCACTTCAGTGAAATGGCATAACAATATTCATCCTCCTGGGTTATTTAGAGGATTCACGAGAAAATGCATTTAAAGCATTTAGACCAGTGCTTATGACAGAGCAGTCCCTCAAAAACATGGTTCCTTTTTCTGCTCTGTGAGCCTCAGTCTCCCCAGTGATTATTATGGATAATACACACACACACACACACACACACACACACACTTGAAGTCTGAAGTGTAAGACTGTAGATTCATTCATTTCTTCATTCCCTCATTTGTCCTCTTATCCTAATGATTTCAACCTTAGCTGCACATTAGAATTACCTGCCAAGCTTTAAAAAATTCAAGAACTGGCCAGGCAAGGTGGCTGACGCCTGTAATCCCAGCACTTTGAGAGGCTGAAGCAGGCAGATCACGAGGTCAGGAGTTTGAAACCAGCCTGGCCTGCATGGTGAAACCCCGTCTCTACTAAAAATACAAAATTTAGCTGGGCGTGATGGTGGGCGTCTATAGTCCCAGGAACTCAGGAGGCTGAGGCAGGAGAATCGCTTGAAGCCGGGAGGCAGAGGTTGCAGTGAGCCGAGATCGTGCCACTACACTCGGCTCTGAGCAGCCTGCAGTCCCGGCCCTCACCCATTATGGAGCCCGGCCCCTAGGGCCCAACTGCCTCCGGCCCGCTGCCATCCACGAGGACTGGTTCCGCGGGACCTGCAGCCTGTGGCCCGGCCAGGCCTTGTCGCTGCAGCTGCAGCAGCTGCTCCAAACCCAGTGCTTGCGCTCCCAGGACATCCTCACCTGTAGCCAGACCTATGGCCACGTGCTGGTGTACGTGTGGTCCAATGCACGGAGGGGGATGAGTTCTCCCAGGAGCTGATTGCCCGCCTGCCTCTCTGCAGCCGACCCCCGCCTGCCCCCAGCAGGTGGTGACCATCTGGGTCCTTCTCGAGGTGGGGAAACACACCGCTCAGCGGAGTCCATGGTCCAGTGTGAGATTGTCGAGGGTGTCATCCAAGTCCCCAGAAAGTTCCTGCTGGGCGTAGCTGTTGGCTAGTCTAGCTTGAAGCTGACCCTCCATGTGGGTGACGGTTTTGAGTTCATGAAACAGAATCGGGAGGCCTTTCATGCGACCATCACCGACTCCTCAGACTCCACGGGCCCAGCAAAATTCACCCCAGGGAGTCCTATTCCCAGCTTATGAAGACGGCCCTCAAGGAAGAGGGCCAGGGTGAGGCTGCCAGGGTGAGTGCCAGTGGCTGCACCCGGACCTCATCCAGGAGAGGCGGCAGTTCTGCCAGTCAACATTCCCCCTGGTGCCTGCTGCACCATCCCCACCAACCCCGGTGGCCAGATGGGCTTCATGCGGTGCAGCCAGAACCCGAGCACCAACTTCCAGGAGCAGGTGCAGCTGCTGGCGCAGCAGCAGGTGGCATAGATCCAGCTGAAGCGCTGCAACTCCAACAGGTACTGTGCCACCCTTGTGCTGCCCGAGCCTTGCAAGGCTCTGAGTGATGTGAGCTGAGCCCAGGTGCCACCACCGATGCCACCCAGAACCTTGGATCAGGGAGCCTGCAGTGTGCCTGGGCCCCTCCAGCCCTGGGCCAGACCTCCTGCCGGCTCTCACCCACCAACCAAGGGTTTACAAGGCCCAGAGTGCTGCCTGGCCTGCCCTGCTGGGAGTTCTGCCTCCAAGCCTATACCGGCCGTGTACGGCACCATCTCTCTGCCTTCTGTTGTCCCTCACTCACCAAACACGTGTATTTGTAGAAAAGAAAAATTCAAATACCTATGCAGTTCAGTTAAATGACAAAATCAGAATCTCTAGATTGTAGCTTCATCAATTGTCGAAGCTTCCCAGGTGTCTTCAATGTGCAGGCAAGGCTGAGAACCACTGCTTTAGCTAGTGATTTCTGCAACTGGAATCACCTGTAGCAATTGGAAAAAAACCCCAAACACCAATATCCTGGTCCCTCCCTTTCACCCAGTCCCGAGCCAATTGAAGCAGCTTCTCTGACAGTGAGCTTCAGTCACGATGATTTTTTTTTTTTTTTTTTTTTTTGAGGGAGTTTCCCTCTTATTTCCAGGCTGGAGTGCAGTGGTGTGATCTCAGCTCAATGCACCTCTGTCTCCTGGGTTCAAGCAATTCTCCTACCTCAGCCTCCTGAATAGCTGGGATTATAGGCACCCGCCACCACGCTCCAGCTAATTTTTGTATTTTTAGTAGAGACAGGGTTTCACCACATTGCTCACGCTGATCCCGAACCCCTGACCTGAGGTGATCCGCCTGCTGGGATTACAGGCATGAGCCACCGCACCCCGCCTCTAGGTGTTTCTTTATGGGGAAAATCAACATAGCTCCTGGAAAATGCTTTTTTTTTTTTTTAGACAGAGTCTCATCTCTGTCACCCAGGCTGGAGTGCAGTGGCTCAATCTCGACTCACTGCAACTTCCATCTCTCAGGTTCAAGTGATTCCCCTGCCGCAGCCTCTCAAGTAGCTGGGGTCATAGGCATGTGCCACCTCACTTGGCTAATTTTTATATTTTTAGTAGAGATGGGGGTTTTACCATGTTGGCCAGTCTGGTCTCAAACTCCTGACCTCATGTGATCTGCCTGCCTCGACCTTCCAAAGTGCTGGGATTATAGGCACGAACCACCTCACCTGGTCAAATGGTTTGTTCCTTATTCCAGTCACCAGAGAATCCAGAAGCCATTTGTTTTTGCCTGGCAGGGACAGCAGTGCACCTTTACAACCTTGCCTCAGAGCTGTGGCGACACAGTATGTGATGGTCAACGCCAGGCACATTAACCGTGGCAGCTCGTGCTCCGATGAGGTGGAGACAGTGGTGCCTTCACCAGACATTTCTGCAACATGATTTGGAACATTGATCTTGGCTGCATAGCCTCTGAGCTAGCTCTCCAACAGCTCTACCCCCCGTTCACTTTCTGTGTCCATAGATTTTTCATAAATTTATTTTCTATTTAACTCAGGCAGAGGTGTGTCTTCTGCTGACAATGAGTAACACTGACTGATGCATATACATCCAGAAGCCCCTAGAGGGCAGCAAACAGCACCCGCAGCTCGGATCTGGAGCAGCGAGGCAGGAGAAGAGCCGCATAAAGTTGGACGTAGGGACATGGATGAACCTGGAAACCATTATTCTCAGCAAACTGACAGAAGAGCAGAAGATCAAACACCGCATGTCCTCACTCATAGACGGGTGTTGAACAATGAGAACACATGGACACAGGGAGGGGAGCACTACACACTTGGGTCTGCTGGGGGAAATAGGGGAGGGCGGTGTGGGGTGGGGAGCTGGGGAGAGATAGCAAGGGGAGAGATGCCAGATGTAGGTGATGGGGAGGAAGGCAGCAAATCACACTGCCACGTGTGTACCTATGCAACAATCTTGCATGTTCTTCACATGTACCCCAAAACCTAAAATGCAATAAAATAAATAAATGGAAAAAAAAAAAAGTTGGACGTTGGGC